TTTAATGGGAAGGAGGGTTAATAGTGTGAGGAAGTTTGTGATAGTGATGCCAAGAAAAAATAAAGAAGAAAAAAAAAGGCCTTTGAAATAGTTATAAAAATTCACAGAAGAGAGCAGAAGGAGGTCTGACTCAGAAGGAAGCTCAGACAAGCAGCATCTACTTGTATGGTTCATGGCTTTTTCATATCCAATCTTTGTGTTCTACTTTATTTAGAGAAATGGCCTTTTTTGTGCTCAAAATAAAAAAAATTAAAACAAAACAAAATATGATAAAATATAAGTTATGTTAGAAGTAATTCTGAACAATTGAAGCTGAGGTATTTGATAATTATGATAATCTAACGCATAGAGGGTAGATCTGGATCTTCTGAGGAGTTGTACTCCATGCTCTATAAAATAAGGAAGACTCAAAGCTGCCAGAAAGTTCAGGGAAACCTACTACTAAGTCCCCAGAAAAAAGAGATATTTTTCACCTTTATGCCAAGAGGTATGGAGAGTGGACGTGATTGACCTCTGTAGCTAATTGAGAAGTGTACTATCATCCTGGGATAGCAATCTCTGTCCTACTTGATAATAATTTGCTAAGACTTAAACCCAAAGTTATGCCTTTCTAGTAATTCAAGTACAGATGAATGATACCACTAGAAGAAATCTGGGAAAAATCTCTAGGAACAATGCAGTCCTAGAGATGAAATAGAAGGTCACAGAGGCACAGGTAGTACCTTCATCATTCCTTCTAATTGGAACTTGGGATGTAAGGATAAAGGACATTATTTGAAGAAGCTAGCTAAGAAGGTGCTATCAGAGGGTGGAATCTGGTTCATTGTTTCACATACGAGAATTTTTGACTGCAGAGTGAATTGATGTTGTGCAAGAGAATCAGCTGCGTGCTCACAGACTAGTACCAGGTAAATAATACCTATGACAGCAGCACCAACAAGGAACTTAGTATATATATGTTCCTGAGGGCAGGATATAGTGGTACTGGTTGTCTTTGCTACCCTCTCTGTCTTCATGCACCTTTCCCCTAGGAAGATCCATAAAAAGTCAAGAAGAATCAAATCTACAACTGCTGAAGAAGGGAATGAGGGAGTGGGAGAGGACAGAACCCTGGGGAGCTTCTGGAATCTTGACTAGAGACAATGTCTGTCCAACAAAGACTGGGAAGAATGTATTTGTCCAGAGAATTTATTGATGGGGATGAGAGGATTTTAATCTTAAAATAAAGGGGAGGAAGCAGAAAGTACTTAGATATAGCTGTTAAACCAGCTACCGTGGCAGGGTGACATAAAACGCAATGAAAGATACATTCAGTAATTAAAAAAATAATAATAACTGAAACCAAGGCTTAGAGAGGGCACTCACAACTTCAGGTGTCTCCACACCAAAATGCAGAGAATGAATGTTAAGCAAAGTGATCTTGGTGTTTTACTACAAAGAAGTAAATCAATGGTAGGAAAAAAAAAAACAACTCATAACTGTAATCCAGCACTGAAAAGATACATTCTTTTTTTCAAAAGAAAACAGCTTCAATAAAAGAGGAACTAATAAGGTATTTAAAAGAAAATACAGAATTGAAACATACTTGTTATGTGACCACAGCGAACTCTCTAAGACTGTAATTTGCAGAGAATGTCTGCATTTGTAGAGAAGATTAGTCACTAAGAGCTTTCTCTGCCAAGGAGATTATTAGTCCAGTTTAAAAAAAAGATATAGACCTGTGTACTTTGTGGAAGTCCATGAACTCTGAGGTGGAAAGAATGGTAGTGGACATTTGAATGAGGATAAGAAAAATATAAATGATAGTGTTATGGGAATATATTACAGACCTACCATAAGTTCTTTTTTTTTGCTTCAGACAAATGATTTTCATTTCAACTCTTGGAGAGGAAACTTCTACCACAGAAAATCTACAACTCTTTTTGCAGTATAGAAAATCTCTACCTCTCTTGGAGAGGTGCCTGGGTGACTAATAATTAAGTGGCTTTCAAAGGATCAAATAGTTCACGTGTGTTGGAGGACAGACTTGAACCACCAGACTTTCTTGCCTCAGGTCAGCTCTCTTCACTATACCATGCTGACTCTCTTGATACAGAACACAAAAACTAGCATAGAGGTAAGGTATACTTGTGATAGAAGGCTTCAACTCTCTAGACATCTGCTGGAGATCTCTTTCTACATAAAAACAGAGCTAGACAAATTCTTGATATGCGTTGATGATAATTTCATCTTTCAGAAGATAGAGGAAGTCTTCTAGCAAAAATGGCAGTGTTAAACATTGTAGAGGAGCCTAGGTCTTATGTGTATACTCCAGCAAAGATATTAAAAAGATCTAGTGGGGCATAGTGGATAGAGCACCGGCCCCTGGATTCAGGAGGACCTGAATTCAAATCCGGCCTCTGACACATAACACTTACTAGTTGTGTGACCCTGGGCAAGTCACTTAACCCAATTGCCTAACCAAAAAAAAAAAAAAAAAATCTAGTAATGGTCAAAACATTCAAAGAAACAACAGTGAACTCCTTCATTCAGATGAGGGCTATACAAAAAGACAGCCAAAAGCCTGTGCACACTGTGAAAGGATTTCCACCAGGGAAACTGCAAGTGTAGGTTGGCAAGCTAGGAGCAGAATATCAGTGAACAATGGCAAGGTCGAGGGTATGATCATCCCTGTGTGGAGACAGGGCAGAGTTGAGGAGAAGGTTATGGAAACTGAGTAGGGGGAACTGGGAAGTTAGGGTGTTGGAATGAACATCAGCATGTATTTTGAAGTCTCCTAGAATGAGAGGAATTTGGAAAATCTCTGGAAAAAAAGACTGTTCTGGGGTATTGGTGAATAACAGTTACCAGAATCTAGAGTGGATAATAAAATTAGAATAAATGAACCCCAAAGGGGAAGAAATTACTGAGTGATAGTGGTAAAGGGAGAGTCTAGAAGGGGCAGTTGGAGGAAGAAGTATTCAGGCTCCACCATCATGATCAGTGAGTGGAGTAGGAGGGAAATGACAACTAGAACTGCAAAGGATGGCAAGAGAAGCAGTGTCATCAGGAGGGAACCACGTTGCAGTGAGTGAGAAGGAAGACTTGGTATGAAAGCCAGTTGGTTAATTATGGAGCAGACAGACCCAAGGACACAACAGAAGGGACCGACATACAGAGTGGGATGGGTATTGGGTAAGGTTGAAGGGGATGGAGATAGAGATGGAGATGAGGGCATGAACTGCCAAGGCTGGGGAGGGGATCAGTATCATGGCTGTGTGAAGAGTAGGAAGAATGGGAATATGTCAGCCACTGGGGAAGTATTTCCAGGCAGAGTAAAAGTGAAGTCTGCTGATAAAGGCAGGCAATTAAATTAGTAAACTCAAGGTCAATGATTTGTGTTGGCACAGGCCTCAACAGTCCTGATCTGCTAGGTTATGGGAATTGGTTTGTGCAACACAGAAGCCCCAGGGAGTAGGACTTGTCTATTAAGAATGCCTAGTGAGGAGGCCTCTTCTGTCCCCAATTTCCTCCTTCCCAAAACATGACTGACCACATTTTGCCCTTGGACTGATCAGGAAACCTAATGAGAAAGAAGAAAATCTAAGTTTAAATCCCAACTCTACTATTTGGACAAGTCACTTAATCTCTAACTGTCAGACTCAACCCAAAATTTAATTGACAAAGGTGGTGAGGGTTAAACAAAGCAGTGTGTATTAAACATTAAAAACAAAGCACTCATTGTGTCTGGGCAGTCCATCATAAGAAGATAGGATCATAGAGGAGAGCTGAAGGAGGCCTTTGAGGGCATCTAGTCCAATCCTTCATTTACAGTAAAGTGAACATCAAAGAGGTTTAAATGACTTGTATGGGTGCTATTTTAACCTATGAGTTCTGACTGCAAATCCACCATGTACTACATTGCTTCTTAAGCTGCTGCTTCAGCTCAGTGGTAGAAATGAAGCTTCTCTCTTTTTGGGGTAGCCAAGAATTGGAAGTTGTGGGGATGCCTATCAGTTGGGGAATGGTTGAACAAGTTGTGGTATATAAATGTAATGGAATACTGTTGTGCTCTAAGAAATGATGAGGTGGACTTCAGGAAAACCTGGAAAGACTTCTATGAACTGATGCCGTGTGAAGTGAGCAGAACCTGGAGAACATTGTACACGGTTATAGCCACACTGTGTGATGATTGACTTTGATAGACTTAGCTCTTCTCAGCAATGCAAGAATCTGAGACAGCTCCAAAAGACTCATGATGGAAAAAGCTATCCACATCCAGAGAAAGAACTATGGAATCTGAATGCGGATGGATACTATTTGCTCTCCTTTATGGTTTTGTTTTGATTCTTCTTTCTCATGGTTCCTCCCATTGTATCTAATTCTTCTTTACATCATGATTAATGTGAAAATATGCTTAATATGAACGTGTAGGTAGAGCCTATATTAGATTGCATGCTGTCTTGGGGAGGGGGGAGGAGAGGGAAGGGAAGAAAATTTGAAACTCAAAATCTTATGGAAGTGATTGTTGAAAGCAAAATTAATAAATTGTTTAATTTAAAAAAGAAATGAGACTTCTACAGCTTTTTTTTTTATTCCTACTTTAGATTGAACTGAGGGTAGAAAAAAGGACGACAAGATGCCAAAGAAAACAGTTGATATTAGAAGTCTGGAATCCTGAATGTAAGGGAAGCTTGTTGGAGGACCAGAACACCCTCCTAGAAAAGTGTTTAAAAATAGATGGAATTTAGAAGCTTTGACTATCCCAGACATGAAACGTCTTCTTTTATTCTTTGCTCTCCATTTGGTTTTCGTGTACCTGATTCAGTCGTGTTCATAGCAGAGCAGAAGATCAGTAGTTATTTATTGAAAACATTCATTAAGAGAGCATAATAATTAGTAGTAGGCTTTCTTAATTCTTTTGAGTAAAAATGGAGGGATTCTTAGAAGTTATATTACCCTATTTTGGTTAAATATTCCAATCAGAACAATATTCTTCTTCCCACCTTTTTTCATAACAGGAAGAAAAATCAGGTCAGAAGCCAGCAGAAGCCAAAGAGGTAAAACTTTATGCCCAGATTCCCCCTGTAGAGAAGATGGATGCATCCTTGTCCATGCTTGCTAATTGCGAGTAAGTTCTGTAAAGAAGATCAACTATTTTATCTTGTGAATTCTTCTAGAATTGTCACTTTCCTTTTCTGCCTTTTTTTTTTCAATACTTTAAGAAAGATGTTTGTTTTTCTCTGTGCCTCATGTTTGTTTCCCTATGTAATTCAACCACTGATAGACTCAAACACATAAAGAGACTACTACTGATTTAGGAGTTTGTAGAGTCATTAATAGAGTGATATCCAAAGGTATACTTTCTTCATTGTATCTGATTATCATCAGCATGGAGAACATGGAAGGACCAAAAAACTGTTTCCGTGTTACAAATCTGTACATTACCTCTCTCCCAGGCAAAGTTATGAGCTAAAATCAATCCTATACTTAACCTGCTGAAAACTCCACCTCAGAACTGTTCTTTGGTTCTACATTAAAACAAATTAGAATGAATTAAAGTACTATATGCCAATTTTATCAGCATTTTGATTCCTTGGTATTATAACCGTGACACATACCCAGAATTTTAACCTACAATGACTTTCACATAGAAACTCGAGATCAACATTGTATAGTATCTTATTATATAATACTCTTCATGTCTCTGTCACATTAGACCAGTAGCATTTAGATATGATTAGCGTAATGAGAATTGCTTTGAGGTAGAAGGACGACTAACTTAACTCTAGGAAATTAAATGTAAAGAATCATTTCTGACCAGTTTTGAGGGGAGTACTAGACCTATGATTTCATTGGTAGAGGGAGTTCCCATTAAGGTAAGTCCCTCTACTAATGCAGTTCAGTCCCTGTTTTGGAATTTATAATTTTTTTAATCAATTCATTTTTAGTTTTCAACATTCACTTTTATAAGATTTTGAGTTCTAGATTTTTGCCTCTCTTTCCCCTTCCGCCTCCCCAAGACAGCATGTCTGTTATAGTTATATAGTCTGTTATAATCTGATATAGGCTATACATGTACAATCATATTAAACATATTTCCCCATTAGTGATGTTGTAAAGAAGAATCAGAGCCAAAGGGAAAAACCACAAGGAAGAAAAAAAAAAGAGAGAGAAAATAGTATGTTTCAATCTGCATTCGGACTCCATTCTTTCTCTGACTGTGGATAGCATTTTCCATCTTGACTGGTTTGAAATTGTCTTAGATCCTTGCATTGCTGAGAAGAGCCAAGTCTGTCAAAGTTGGTCATCGCACAGTGTTGCTGTTACTGTGTACAACATTCTCCTGGTTCTGCTCACTTCACTCAGCATCAGTTCATGTAAGTCTTTCTGTGTCTCCTGGACTCCAGAGATGGCTTTCTAACCACTACACCATGTTGTCCTGCCCACTTCTGATCCACTTTCATTGTTTAATTATTCTCAAGAGCCTTTTTTCAACTGTAATGAGGTCATTGGACTAGATCAACTCTAAGGTTCCATCCAGCTCTAAATTCTGTTCTCTTTCCTAAATACCGTGAATCAGCACATTAGCATAAGGTAGACCTCTGGAACTTTGGGCAAATGACTTAACTTCTAGGGCTCATATTGCTCATTTGTAAAATGTGGCTAATGACTTCTACGACAACAACTATGTCTTTTACTTGTGAGGTTCTTTAAGCATGAGTCTGCACAAAGAGGAGGTTTTTATTAGATTATGCACCAGGAAAGATAGCAAGTTTCTATTGTAGATCCTAAGTAGTGAAAAAAAGAGCTGATTTATGAGGGGTTAAAGTGGCCAAATGAGGATGACCCGTTTGGAACCATTTTATGCATTGATGCCATTGTAGATTCAAGGTGTCTTGAAAGTCATACTACAGTGTTAAGTTTTACTGTCTTAAAACTGCACTGAGATTTTTGGGACATCCTGCATCTAGCCACATTAACAGAGAGCAGACAGATGACAATGTGGAGGTCGCACTATCTAGTACTAGTCTTAGAGTCAAGAAGATGTGGACTTTAAGGACTCCGGCTTCTGGGATAAGAGCTCACTGTTTGACAGAAACAACTAGGGAAATTGGAAAACCGTGTGGCAGAAACTAGGCACAAATCAACATTCTACACTGTGTACCAAGATAAGATCAAAATGGGTACATGATTTAGATATAAAGGGTGATACTATAAGCACATTAGGAGAGCAAGGAGTAGTTTACCTGTCAGATCTATGGAGAACGGAAGAATTTATGACCAAACAAGAGATAGAGAACATTATGAAATGCAAAATGGATAATTTTGATTAAATTAAATTTAAAAGTTTTTGCACGAACAAAGGCAATGCAACCAAGATTAGAAGGGAAGCAGAAAGCTGGGAAACAATTTTTGCAGCCAGTGTTTTTGATAAAGGCCTCATTTCTATAATATATAGAGAACTATGTAAAATTTATAAGAATATAAGTCATTTCCCAATTGATAAATGGTCAAAGGATATGAACAGGCAGTTTTCAGATGAAGAAATTAAGGCCATCTATAGTCATATGAAAAATGCTCTAAATCACTATTGATTAGAGAACAGCAAATTAAAACAACTCTAAGGTACCACATCACACTTATCAGATTGGCTAACATGACAAAACAAGAAAATGATAAATAGTGGAGAAGATGTGGGAAAATTGGAACACTAATGCATTGTTGGTGGAGTTATGAAATGATCCAATCATTTTGGAGAGCAATTTGTAACTATGCCCAAAGGGTTATAAAAATGTACATGCCCTTTGATCCAGCAATAGGTCTGTATCCCAAAGGGATCATAAAAAAGGGGAAAGGACCTACATATACAAAAATATTTATAGCAGCTCTTTTTGTTGTGGCAAAGAATTGGAAATTGAGGGGATGCTCATCAATTGGGGCATGGCTAAACAAGTGGTATACAAATATAATGGAATACTCTTGTACTATAAGAAATGATGAGCAGACAGACTTCAAAAAACCTGAAAAGACTTGCATGAACTGATGCTGAGCGAAGTGAGCAGAACCACGAGAACATTGTACACAGTAACAGCAACATTGTGCAATGACCAACTTTTCGACTCTTCTCAGCAATGCAATGATGTAAGACAATTCCAAAAGACTCATGACGGAAAATGCTATCCACAACCAGAGAAAGAATGGAGTCTGAATGCAGATTGAGACATACTATTTTCTCTCTTCTTTTTTCTTTCTTGTGGTTTTTTTCCTTTGGTTCTGAATTCTTCTTTACAACATGACTAAGGTGGAAATGTATTCAATATGATTGTACATGTATAGCCTATATCAGATTACATGCTATCTTGGGGAGGGGGGAGGAAAGGGAGAGGAAGAAAATTTAGAACTCAGAATCTTATAGAAGTTAATGTTGAAAACTAAAAATAAATTAATTTAAAAAAACACGTAAGTTCGAATTCCTCCACAGACATTTGCTAGCTGTGTGACCCAGAGCAAGCCACTTGACATTTCTGGACCTCAGTTTCCTCATTTGTAAGATGTGGAGGTTTGACTTGATGATTTCTGAGTCATCCCTTCCATGCCAGATCTCTGCTCCTATGAAACATGAATATTCTTCATTGAGGCAGCTGTGGTAGTATGGCAAGAATATTGGCCTAAGATCCATGAGGTCTGCATTCCAGTTCCAAGGGCTTTGAGTTTTACAGTAGCTTTCCTTACCACAGTCTGATGAGGCAGGTGGTGCAGGAGTTGTCATTTGAGGATACTTGGCAGAGAGATGGAGTGCTCTGAACATGGTCACACTGGTAAGGCCAATGGGGAACTGGCATTTATGAAGGATTTACTGTGGGTACACCCTTTGCTAAGAACCATGGCTACAGACACAAGCAGAAAGAAAGGCAGTCTCTCCTCTTGGGGAGCTTACCCTCTAATGGGGAAGATAACACACAAAAGGGGGTTGAGGAGGAGGTGCCCTCAGAGGAAGCATAGTGTCAAAGTCAGGAAAGTCAGAAGCAGAGCAGGTGAGGAAAAAAGGTTGGCGGCCTGGTCCTTACCCCAAAATGTAGGCCCTTGGAAGGAACTCACCAGTGGGAAAAGGCGGTTGGCATGATGGAGGGATGCTCTAGGGTGAGAATGCTATAGGGATGGAGGGATGTTCCAGGGTAAGGTGGCCCCAGGTGCATAGGGAAGTAAGTGGAGGAATGAAAATTAGAATAGAACCCAGATCTCCTGACTTCCATTTCAGGACCCTTTCCACTACACTATATTGCCTTTCAACTATAAATCATCTAGTAGAACCCCTCAGCTTACAGATGGGGCAACTGGAGCCCATTCGTTTCACAGAATTGTGAAGATCTAGTGAGATAACTATAGTGTTTTCACTTTGTAACCATAAAGCATTATTTAATATGAATTATTGTTGTTATTATGATGTATTTGGAGAACACTATACTGTGAAGCAGTCCTTTTCAGTGTTGTTAATTATGGCACTCAGACGTTCTCTTTATCATCAGAGGAGCCATCTCCAAGACAAAAATCTCAAGGGCCTTTTAGCCCAGGATCAGAGTCCTTGGAAATGGGCTTGGAAGAGAGTCAGTTATCTGTAGGGCTTCATTAATGTGCTGACAGATACTTTGAGTAAGCTATCCCTTCTCAGACCTTAAGAGAGTTACCAGTCATATTCACAGCAGATTGAGCTGTCTACTTCTCTAGTTTACTGAGAGTTCTTTGGGCAACTAGAAAATATGTGAAATTGCCAAGAATTTATATTTTTTTTAAAAAAACATTTTAAAATTACTTTAAGACAGCAAAAGAAGTCAAGAATTATCCTTAAACTCAGTCTTTCTAAACCTTAAAGTAGTCCATATGAATGTGAGGGTAGAGCACCAGTCCTGTAGTCAAAAAGATCTGAGTTCAAATGTGAACTCAGATTTGTGACTAGCTTTGTGATCCTGGGCAACTTATTTAACCCCTATTTGCCTTAATTCCCCATCTGTAAAATGGAGATACATTGGAGAGGGACGTGGCAAACGACTCTAATATCTTTGCTAAGAAAACCCCACAGACATTGTCAGTAGGATCACTTAGAGTTGGACATGACTGAGTGATTGAACAGCAGTATAAATGTGAGCCATTATCATTATTATTCTCATTATGAGAGTTTTAAGGGATTTGGATATGAGACTTTGATTTAAGATCAAGCCAAGAATGTAAAGAATCATGGCATTCTTGTTGTAATGAGTTTTCAGGAATTTTTGATCTTCCAATTAATTTAAGTTTTTATTCTCTTTAAGGAAGCTTTCGCTGTCTACAAACTGCATTGAAAAAATTGCCAATCTGAATGGCTTAAGTGAGTAATCTATCAGTTATTTGAATTTTCTAGTTGCTTGAAATAAGTTTGTTGAAGATTTGATGATGGTTATCTGCAAATAATTGTCATATAAAAGAAAAGCTCTGGGGCAGCTGGGTGGTACAGTGGATCGAGCTCGGCTTTGGAGTCTGGAGGACCTGAGATCACATATGGCCTCAGACACTTGACACTTATTAGCTTTGTGATCCTGGGCAAGTCACTCAACCCTGATTGCCTCATCAAAAAGCAAAAAAAAAAAAAGAAAGGAAGAAAGAAAAGCCCAAATACCTCAAATCTTAATATCATAAGAAAACTGAAGAGATAACTTTATTGAACAATCTTCAATTTGAAACAGTCAGAAATACAGGGATTTTGTATGTTTCCTACATTCAGATGAACTAGATAATGTTGGAACATAGGTAGATCTGAGAAATTCAGATGTAATTTAGTGTTTACTTGATTTTGAGGAATAATTACTAATTATTAAAGCATATAATTGAAATGGTGGGATCTGCACTTGTTTTTGGCAGACTTAGTAAGCGTTGAGACATTTCATTTCTGTGCCTGGAGCAAATACCGAACTTCTGACCCTCAGTTTCCTCACCTGCAAAATGAGGTCAAGGTTTGGATTAGATAGACTGTGAGGTCCCTTCCAAACTCTCAGTTTACAATCCTGTGAAAATGGACGTAATGATTAGTTGTGAAGTTGCTGAAATGTGGTAGAGAAGACAGTGTACTTTTTATCCTAAGGATAATAGAGCTGAAAGGGGTCTTCAGAGTCATCTAGTCTAGTCTTCTCAGTGCACATGGTTTTGGTTTGTTTTTTTTTTTTTTAATTTAAAGATTGTTTTGCAGCATTCACTTGGAATAGTTTTTGATGAATGTTCATCCACATGCACTTTTTCAACCCCTTTCTGTACATTTGCAAGGCAATATGTTGGGGCTAGGTCTGTATACTATGGGGAGTGATAGCCTCCAACTAGCCCCTAGGGTAATTTAGCTTGTAACCTGGGCCCATTATCAGTGTGTTCTAAACCAGGGGAATTCACTTGATAGTCCGAACAAAAAATCCTTTGTAGAGCTGAGTTCTAAAGAGTAATCCTTGTCTGCAGTTTATGTTTTTTCCCACCAAAATAGTGGGACCCAAAGATGCAATGATTTGGTTTCATTGGGAACTGCTGTGAAAAACTAATTCATTGTCTCTAGGAGTAGCCACTTTACATGGCATTATAAAGTATTGGAAAATTTTGCAGTGCCTTATACTAAAACACTTAGTAGTTCTTTGGTGTTAATATAACTGTGAAATGTTTTATTCCTTAACAGTAAATGCTGAAGGATATTTTTAGCCTGCCATCACTTTTTTTCTCATATATTTTTTCAAATATAATTTATCAAAGCTTTCATTGATAAGCTTGTATATTAATATTAATTAAAACTCTAATTTGATTTTTTAAAAATAGCACATCTCTCTTTATGGAGAAGAAGCTTCAATAGGATTACAGGAATCTTTGATTCCTATAAATGATAATGATTTAATTTATATTTTTATGATATCTTATATTTACATAGGACTTAAAAAGTCAAAGCTTTTTGCATAGAATAATTCACAAATTCTTATAATTAGAATATAAAAGCATTGAGGATTAATTATGAGGTTCCAAAGAATAAGTGTATTTAAACTAAATTGTGATGATAAGAATATGGAAAATTATATAAACTTTAATCCAAAGTAATGATACTTATTCCTGAGGAGAGAAGATGTTCAGTGATTTGTTTATAATCTTTTTTCAACATCATTACAAAGATTGAAAGTTCAGATTTGTTTAAAAAACAAAAGTTAATCATTTTATTTTTATTGTATATGTGTTCTCTCTATGAAAGGCTTAAAATATGGCTTCTTAAGTTTCAGTGACAGCATCCCTTCAGCTGTTACTTGATTGCTTTCTACAGCCAATAATTGAACATCCTTATCAGGAAGCAGTTGGAAGTCAGTCATGCCTATAGGTAATCATTGCTTTAATGAGATTCTGTCATGGTGTAAAATTATAATTTTGATATTTATTTTATGTGGTAGAGCCATCGGTGTTATTTCCTGCTAGGACAATCAGCTTCATTAATTCCTAAATTAATAGATTAATAGAGGTCCCCTTCAGGGACTTTGGAGGTTACCTGGCCCAGCCCTTTAATTTTACAGTTGAGAAAGCTAAGGCCTAGAGTGGGAAAGTGATTTGCCCAGAGTCACACAGCTAGCCAGTGGCAAAGCTTGGGACTAAAATGCAAGTTCCCTTCTCCTTGTTCAGGGCTTTTTCTATTACAGCAAACTCCCTTGAGCTTTTTTTTTTTTTTCCCAAACTTTTTTTCCAAACTCTTATTTAATTGAAAGCAAGTGTCCTGAGCCTCCCAGATGGGGAGAACTAAGCTCTGGAGTTGGGAAATAAGTTCTGGAGAAGGAGAGCTCATGGAGAGAACTGTACCTAGTGATCCCCAGCATCTGGGACAGATGCAATGGTAAGTTTGTGAGGAACCTCAGGTTTAGGTAATCATTTTAAATTTCTAAATGTATGTAAAAAGCTGACATTTTAAACCATAGCTATAGGGGAGCTTATTAACATGGGACTGTCAAGTGAAAAGGTGAGAGACTTTAGAACATAAGGCCCCAAGGCAGGGCACAGACACCAGGATGAACCTGACACCAGAAGAGGGAGCACAGTGAGCTCAAGTAGTGGGTAGCTCACCTGGGACATAAGGCATTTTGGCATTTGGGCACCAGGCCCTGATATCAGTCTGCTTTTCAGGATGGACTAGGAAGACAGACAGCATTCATGCTAGGGGAGAGACAGGTAGTCTACCAGAGAATCTAGCCTGTCCCTCCACTGTACAGTCTACAATTCCTGACATGTCAACTCCCCCTCCCCCAGAGAAGGAGATGACTGAGTGGGGCAACGGTAGGAGTAGGTGGGCCCCAAAAGGGGGGTTACCACAGTTATGTGACCCTCCAAAGTCACCTGGAGCAGGCTCAGATGCAGGGACAGTGATGCTGCATTATGTTGGGATCCATGGCATGGCTTAAGGGGGACTGTTGGTGGGAAGAAAGGTGGTCCCCAAGTTACAGTTACCTACCCATACTCTGGAACAAGCTCTAGTTGCCACACACTAATCATGATTCTGTGTGTGGATTGTTAGTCTTGCTATGGTCTCAGCAACACTATCTACCCCTACCACTTCTGAATCATTTAAATGCACACATTCTTCTCCTTGAAGGAGTTAGGAACCCCATAAATTCTAGATCACACCTGAGATGAGACAGAAAACCTGCTGTGGGCAATTATTTGGTAAGGATCCCATTTGGCCACAGGTGAGCCAAAAGTGCTGGCATATAGTAGGCACTCAGTAAGTAGTTAGTGATTGATTAAAGTTGAGTTATTTTCTGCCTGGGGTTGCCAACTTATTTGCCTGGTATTTGATCACAGAAGCCATAATACTTTTATTGATTTATCATTTGGTATTCTTTTTTTTGGTAACTATACTTCTGATATGCTTCTTTCTTTCCCTTCCCCATTATCCCCTTAGTTCTAAGCTTCTCATATAGGTCCAGACTGAGAAATTTGTCTTTGTTCTCTATAATCAGTTGGATCCTGGACCCTGACTGATTCCTTTAGTCATAATATAAGAATCTTTCTAAACATTGTATATGTGCTGAGTGTATTTGTACTATCAAATGAGATTATATCTAACAATGCTATATAAATTTTGCAAAGTACAGAGTGCTATGTAAATTTCAGTTATCACCTTTACAACAGTGTATACTATAAATAGAATAATCCATTATAAAGGTTGAATCTATTCCTCTTATTTGTTATACATATAGCCAAACTAACGGACTTGGTGTCTCTGAATTGGGCATTTCTTCTGCCTTCACCATACCTGTGCACAGGCTGTCTTGCATGCAGGGTATGCATTTATCTCTGCTTCTTAGGATTCCTCATTTCCTTCAAGGCTAACCTCAAGAGTGCCACAGCCTTCCTGCCCCAGGCTTTCCTGATCAGCATCCCTACTCTCAGTTGTTAGTGCTCTTCCCTTATCAAAAGGTTGTGCATTTACTTATCTAGACAGATATTTCATCTCCTCCCTTCCCTCCCCCCACCCCATCAAGATTAGCTCTTTGAGGGTAGGGAGTTCTGTATTGCTTTGCACTTAATAAGTGGGTGTTTTTTATTTTTTTAATAAGCATGTATTGAGTGCCTCTTGTGTGCCAGGGCACTGTAAGGATATAATAAATAAATATTTTTTGAGTTGAATAAACATAAAATCATTTTCTTTCTGTTGTAGAAAACTTGCGGATCTTGTCACTGGGAAGGAATAACATAAAGAACTTAAATGGATTGGTAGGTTACCTTTCATAACACTCTTTAAGCATGTGACTTTAGGGTTCTTTTTGGTATTTGGAATTGCTTTCTTTTAATTCTTTGTCTGTCTCTTTAAAGAAGAAACTTGGAGAGCATTCATTTGTTGTACTGCTTTTCTATCCAGGAACTTAATAACAATAATAATAGTAATAGCTCACATTTGTTGGTGTTCAGTCATTAGTCATGTCGTACTCTTCGTGGCCCCATTTGGAGATTTCTTGGCAAAGATCCTGGAGTGGTTTGCCATTTCCTTCTCCAGCTCCTTCTACAGATGAGGAAACTAAGGCAAACAGAGTTAAGCTCTCCCATATTCTCCTCTAAACAACTTTAGTACCTCAAAACAAATTTGAGAGCAGCAGAACCAGCAAAAGGACGGAGTGAAAGTATTCTGGCCCAAGACAACTTGTAAGTCAATAGGAAAGTTCTGTCTCACTGGAGTGCAGTCCAGAGCAGGGTTATACCCTGGCAAGCCAGCAGCAGGCCTTAGGGGCAACTAAATTGGCAGCAGCAGCTTCTGTAGCATTCAGCTCACAGACAAAGGTGGGGGTGGGCAGGGTGGGGGGAGTGGGACAACTGGTCAGAAGGAGATTACAGGTAACCCTTTGCTGGCCCTAGGTGCAGGACACTGTTTGCCCATCCTGGTCACAGTTCTAGGTCAAGAAGGCACCACTCTAGTTGGGACCCTGGTCACAGTTCTAGAGTAGGAAAGAGTGCTTGTGGTCACTTGCAGACCAGAGCACAGGCTAGGAGAACAGTGACAACACCTCTCCTTAGATCATACCACCTTGGAAGAACTGAAAACTTACAGATCCCCCCTCCCCCTGAACTAGCTCTGAATACAGCAGCATGAAAAACCTGGGACAGTGTCCCCTCCACCTTAGGAGCAAAGCCCAACTTTAACATAAAGTTAAAAGTCAAGAAATAGGTTGGAAAAATAGGCTGAGGGGCAGCTAGGTGGTGCAGTGGATAGAGCACTGGCCCTAGATTCAGGAGGACCTGAGTTCAAATCCGGCCTCAGACACATAACACTTACTAGCTGTGTGACCCTGGACAAGTCACTTAACCCCATTGCCTAATCCCGCCCCCCCAAAAAAATAAGCTGAAAAAAATAGCAAACAAGAAGGAAAAAAAAAGAATCAGACCATAGAAAGTTACTCTGGTGACGGGGAAGGAAACACAAACTCAGAAGAAAACAAGAGAGTCAAAACAGCAACATGCAAAGCCTCAAAGAAAAATGTGAATTGGTCTAAGACCCCCCCCCCCAAATTCCTGGCAGAGCTCAAAAAGGATTTTAAAAATCAAATAAGACAGGTAGAAGAAAACTTGGGAAAAGAAATGACATTCATGCAAGAAAATTGTGAAATAAGAGTCAACAGCTTGGTAAAGGAGGTGCAAAAAAAAATGAGCAAAATAACTCCTTAAAAAATAGACTGGGCTAAATGGTAAAAGAAGTACAAAAATTTGTTGAAGAGAACTCTTTAAAAAGCAGAATTGTGAGGGCACTGAAGAAAATAATTCCTAAAAAATTAGAAATGGGCAAGTGGAAGCCAGTGACTCCATGAGACATCAAGAAACAATAGAACAAAATCTAAGGAATAAAAAAAATAGAAGAAAATGTGGAATAGCTCATTGAAAAAACAACTGACCAAGAAAAATAGATCCAGAAGAGATAATGTTAAAATTATTGGACTACCTGAAAACCATGAACAAAAGAAGAGCCTAGGCATATTTGAAGAAATTATCAAGGAAAACTGCCCTACTATCTTAGAACCAGAGGGTAAAATAGAAATTGAAAGAATCCTCTGATTACCTCCTAATGGAGATCCCCAAATGAAAACTCCCAGGAATTCCAGAGTTACCAGATTAAGAGAAAATATTCCAAAAAGCCAGAAAGAAAAATTCAAATATTGTGGAGCCATAGTCAGGATGATACAAGATTTAGCAGCTTCTACATTAAAGAATTGGAGGGCTTGGAATATGATATTCCAGAGGCCAAAAGAGCTAGAATTACAACCAAGAATGACCTGTGCAGCAAAACTGAGTGTAATCCTTCAGGGGGAAAAATGGATATATAATGAAATAGAGTAGTTTCAAGCATTCCTCATGAAAAGACCAGAGCTGAACAGAAAATTTTACTTTCAAATACAAGATTCAATAGAAGCATAGAAAGGTAAGCAGGAAAAAGAAATCATTAAGGGATTCAATAAGGTTAACTGTTTACATTCCTACATGAGAAGATGATACTTGTAACTCCTAAGAACTTTATTATTATTAGGGCAGTTAGAAGGAGTATACATAGAGTGCACGGGTGTGAGTTGATCATATAGGATGATATGAAAAAAAATAAAACTAAAGGATGAGAAAGATGGATGTACTAGGAGAAGGAGGAAGGGAGAAGTAGAATGGGGTAAATTATCTCCTATAAAAGAGGTGCAAAAGAGCTTTTACAATAGAGGGGAAGATGGGGGGGTGGACAAGGTTTGAACCTTTGAACATTTGAATCAGCATTGGCTCAAAGTGGGAATAACATACTCAGGTATAGAAGTCTATCTTATCTTACAGGGAAGTAGGAAGAGAAAGGGATGGAGCTGCTGATAGAAGGGAGGGGGGATTGAGGAGGCAGTGGTCAGAAGCTTTTGAGGAGGGACAGGATCAAAGGAGAAAGAGAGAAGGATAAATGGGAGAAAAATAGAATGGAGGGAAATAACAGTAATCATAACTGTGAAAAAAATTTATGGCACAATTCTCCAATAAAGGCCTAATTTCTCAAATACACAGAGAACAGAGTCAAATTTATAAGAATACAAGTCACTCCCCAACTGATAAATGGTCAAAGGATATGAACAGGCAATTTTCAGAAGAGGAAATCAAAGCTTCTATAGTCATATGAAAAATGCTCTAAATTGCTATTGATTAGAGAAGGGCAAATTAAAACAACTCTGAGGTACTCTCATACCCATCAGGTTAGCTAATATGATGGAAAAAAAAATGCGGAGGGTCTGTAAGAAAATTGGGGCACTAAAGCATTGTTGATGGAGCTGTGAACTGATCCAACTGTTTTGGAGAGCAATTTGGAACTATGCCCAAAGGGCTTTAAAAGCATGCATACTCTTTGACCCAGCAATACTACTACTACGTCTGTATCCCAAAGAGATTTAAAAAAAAAATAAAAGGAAAAAGACCTACATGTACAAAAATATTTATAGCAGCTCTTTTTGTGGTGGCAAAGAGGTGGGAATCCAGGGTATGCCCATCAATTGAGGAATGGCTGAACAAGTTTTGGTATATGATTGTGATGGAATACTGTTGTGCTATAAGAAATGATGAGTAGCATGCTTTCAGAAAAACCTGGACTTACATGAATTGATGCAAAGTGAAGTGAGCAGAAACAGAACAGTGAACACAGTAACAGCAATATTGTACAATGATCAACTGTGAATGATTTAGCTATTCTCAGCAATACAATGATCCACAGAATCCCTAAGGACTTACAATGAAAAATGTTATCCATCTCCAGAGAAAGAACTGATAGAGTCTGGATGCAGATCGAAGTATACTTTTTTTAAATTTTATTTTTCTTGGTTTTTTTTGTCTATGTTTTCTTTCATAACATGACTAATATGGAAATGTTTTACATGACTGCACATGTGTAACCTATATCAAATTGCTTGGATTTTCAACAAAGAAGGAGAGAATTTGGAACTCAATTTAAAAAAATATTAAAAATTGTTTTTAAATGTAATTGGAAAAATAATTTTTTAAAAGTCAATTAACGGTATTATAATATTGGATTTTCTGAGCTGATAGGCTCAGGAGAAGAATTTTGACTTACAGAAGCTTGATATATTAAGTAGGTTGAAAGATTTTTTTAAAGTTTTGAATCTTTCTCAGTGCAAGTATGGTGATTGACTAACAAAGTGAAATTTCATTAATTTATATTCTAATTTGGACCTTGATACTTCAGGTGAGTTACATTGAACTGAAGTTTACCTTTGGTATTATCCATGGACAAATGGTGCAAACAAGGGAGAGAATATTTAAAATAACTGAATATAATTGATGATTTTCAAGCCTCCTAAGTACATTATAAAGGCCATCCTCTACACAGGCCTGCTCTGATGCCCCATCATAGTGTGGGAGTGACCTGGTCTCAGAAGCCATGCCAGCAGAGGGCACGTGGCAGTACCTCCTGTAATTGCCTTCTGCCTGATATGCTACATACAGGAGGAGGAAATGTTTATGGATCTGGAATATTTAAATCCATATTGTCATTTTTTTCAGGAGGCAGTTGGGGACACGTTAGAGGAGCTGTGGATATCTTATAATTTCATTGAGAAGCTGAAAGGGATCCATGTTATGAAGCGACTGAAGATCCTCTATATGTCTAATAACCTAGTGAAAGACTGGGGTAAGTCAAGTTTACATTCTGCCTCCTTGCTTTCAGAAATTAACCCAGTAGGAGGACAAAGGATATATAAAAGGGAAATTACTTTCTAAACAGTAGACTTTTTGACAGAAAGAGCAGCTGAGTTGCCAGCAGTTTGCCATTTTTAGCTGTTTAGTTATCCTTACTACAGCCATAGGGCTCAAAATCTCTTTACTAATCATGAACAAAAGTTGTCCAATTTACCTAAAGGCCATAGGGAAACTAATTTAAATGTAACTCTTCTTTTGAATCTCCCTTTTCTAAGCTTATGTCATACTTTGTAACTTTTTTGGGCCACTCAACTCATGCCACCTTTTACTATAAAGTTATCTCTGTACATACCCTTTTAGCATGTAAGCTTCTTCAAGGGCAAATGTTTAACTGAGCACTGTATCCTTCACAGCGCCTAGTGCAGTGCCATGCAGGGCCAGTGTTTATTGTGAGTGCAAGGTCTTACTGACCCTGGTCTTCAACCACATTCTGTCCGCACTTTGTTCTTTCACTTGACAGATGTGGCGTGCGTCCCAGAGAGTTTCAAACCTGGAATGTGATACAACTTGAAAAACAATTGCAGGGTCACACAGCTAGTAAGTGTCAAGTGTTTGGTCTGAGGCCGGATTTGAACTCAGGTCCTCTTGACTTCAGGGCTGGTGCTCTCTCCACTGCGCCACCTAGCTGCCCCCAGAATCATTTATTGACATGGTTATGCTATATCATGGTGATTTGTCATCATCACGTGTAATTTTAATTTTGAGAAAAGGAAATTGATTCTTTTGGATTCAGCTGAAAATGATCTTACTCCTTCTTTTTGACTGAAAAGAGTTTTCTTTCTATTTATTTACCTTTAATTGCTTAGAAGAGTCATCTTATGTGGCATAGCTTTTGGAATTGCCTTTTAAATGTCAACCTGTTGCTGAAGTAAACAGAAGAGCCACAAAATTATGGTTGCCAGTGTGTTCTGTGATACTGAGGATCAGCCTATAATTAAACCCCAGCAATTGTACGGTTAATACAGCATTTACTTTTGAGTTATTTCTTTGTAATTGTAGCGGAATTTGTAAAGCTGGCTGAATTAGGATGCCTAGAAGAGCTGGTGTTTGTGGGTAATCCCCTGGAAGAAAAATACTCCATTGAGGGCGTCTGGATTGATGAAGCAACCAAACGAGTACCCAGGCTGAAGAAGCTAGATGGTGGGTTGTTTGGGGTAGCAGCTTGGTGATGTTTTCTGGACATAAGTGCTGATTTAGTGATTCAGTATTATAAAGAGAAGAACCAGACAAGGAAATAGCACTTCCCCTGGAACCTCAAAGGCTCGTTTAGTTTCTTTCCAGTTTGGATTGGTCAGGTTTGAACTGGGATGAACTGAGGAGGTTTGGTCTGCCCGTGGTTTCCCCAGCATGTGTAGACCATACCTGAGTTATCCATAGTTTGAAAGATTCAAGGAAATCAGATCTTTTTAAGAGTGTGGGTCTGTTTTTCACGAGGGTTCAGTTTTACTCAGGATTTCCAGGCCAGTGTTTTCCTAATTTTTTTAAGTTTTTTAAAGAAAACCGTGCCACATGAGCAACAAACAGGACAGAGTGTAAGGCAGTATACAGTGTTTTATATATATAGTACTGCCATGGAAAATCAGCAGAGATATAGGTCGAGCTGGTTGCAGAAGACTTCACTGAGAAAAGAAAGATTTGAATTCAGTCTTACAAAATGGGTGGTGGTAATCAGACAGGCATAGGGTTTTAGAGTGAGATGAAATTCCACTTGTACAGAGTAGCAAAGTCAAAAAGCACAAGAATGCAAAAGTTCAAGCCCTGGAGTCATAGATTTAGAGGTTATTTAGTCCAACTCCTTCATTTTACAGAGGAGGAAACTGGGGCCCAGAGGTGTTAAGTTACTTGTCCAAAGAAAGGGCAGAGCTTGGCATTTGAACATAGGTCTTTTAATTCCCAGTCCAGCACTCTTCACTCTGCCACTCACTACTCCTTACATTTCATGGACAGACTATACACTCATTTGATTGGATTATAAGGTTTTAGAAAGTGTGTAGTTGGTGATTAGCTTAGAAAGTTTGATTGATACTGCTAGATTATAGAAGACCTTGAATGCAAGGGTAAGGAATTTAAACAGTTGCTTGTAGGCAATAGGGACTTTTAGCCAAGCATTTTTTCCTTCAGTACCCTTGAGCCGTTTTGAAACATTTGGGCCTAACTTGGGAAGTCACAGACATGTCAGAGCATCTCACAGTTTTTAGATCAACAGGAAGCTTCTGTCGCTTAGAATGTTAAGAATATGTTAATATTCTTCAGAAGTAATTCTCTCTTTCATTTTCAGGAATCCCAGTAATTAAAGAGGAAGAAGAAGAAGAAGGCTAATGCCACATTTCCACTTTGTTTTAACTTATGATATTTAAGTAAGAACAATAGATAATGCTTTGTATAATTGTCTGTTTTAAAAAGTATATTGAGGGCAAAAATATTTTTAAAATATTTTACAAATCCCTTGTCATCGTTCTCCCTTTCTTACCCCATCTCAAGAGTGAGTTAACAAAACAGTGGTGACAGCAACTTTACCTATAAGGACACAGGCCTCCTATTTTGTAACTAAAGAAATTATGGATAGCAGTATCCACTCTTTAGTCACAACTGCATATCCCAAGCTAATAAAATATTTATAAATAGTTGTTTTTTTCTAGTTAGAATAGAAGCACATTTTTCATGTCCCTTCAACCTAAGTATTTAATTAATTATAATAACAAAGGAATAATTTTTAGTTCTCTGTTCAATTTGTTTAAATACTACTTAGTCTATTTTTTAAAAAAATATGCGTTGCTTCAAGAAAAAAGTTTTAGATCAACATATTTGGATCTTTACCATCTTCCTTCCTGTCTAGCCACCTTCTTGTTTATCATAGTCCACAAATGCCATCTATTTGGTTCAGAAAGACAACATGTGGTATGAAATGATCTTCTGTCACCAGCAAGATTCAGAACTAGCAAGAGAGAAAAATTCAAATCCAAGGAGGCATATTCCACATTATGGTTTGTTGGGATTTTTAAAAAATGAGTGCATGTTAACTGGGATTTAGGTCATCTTTACTTGTGGCCACTGAATCAGATTATGGCCTTGTCAGTCCAGTGACTGTAATTACCTTGATCTCCTGTATAATCACTGGGTCTGAATCAGTCCTGTTATGTTCAGTATCATTTGTGAAGATGACTATACTGATCACTCTGTGCTGTCATCTGGTTACTTTGCACATGTAAATCTGGCCTTAGGTGCATGGTGAAAACTGTAAAGAAGTGACTAGCTATTTTAGGCTTGCCTAATCCAAACTGACTGCTAGGCAGCATTACTTCACGTTCACCTAGGTTTTTGTCAGTTGTACGTAATTATTGGGGACAATGATTGTGGTAGATAGAAAGAAGAGAGAGCTTATCAAGAATTGAATCTAGCAACTTCCTGATAAATGAAATGTTCTATTTCTTGGTTCACTTTTGTTTGACCAGTGCCAGTTCAGATAGCTGATATGATGGATTATGTAAGTGCATATAGGAGGGAAAGAAAAGAAAGTGACTATTTTTATATGGGTGTACAGGCAAATGGCCACACCTTTTAGAGTAATTTCATGCAACATTGCAATATACTTAAAACTCTGAAATCACGAAATAACAAGAAGGCGCAGAATTTTGGAATATTGTGTAACAAAAAAGCTTACATTCTTTCCCCATTCTGGGAAGCATAAGGTGGTACAGTGGGTGCCTAAGTAGAGTTTTGCAGAGAGAAATGGCCGATTCACTCATACAGAGACAGAAGGAAGTCAGGAACTCTCTGCCACATTGTTCTAGATATTCCTAAAGTGAGGTACCACTGATAAATTTATAGTTAAAGGAGAAAAAAGTAAGTTGACAATTTAAAGAAGTAGCCCCTAGCTTCAGAAGTATTGAGTTCTTACCAAGACAGGAAACATTTGATTTCCTTATTAGAAAGGTGTTACTGCTTTGACAATCAGTTTCTAGTGATAAAAGAAGAAAAATTGGTGCAGCATTTTAAACTTTTTAGCCATTCTCTTAGAAGAAATTCTACATAGTTAATTTAGGAAACCCAATCTTAAGATTGGCTTTAGGAAAGCCCAATCTTAAGAATCCAAAGTCTGTGAATATTCAGGGGGGTCATAATTCAAAGAACCTTCATCGTACTTTTGTTGTGGTTGGTAATTCATTCTGTTATCCTGGTTGAATTGAAAATCTTTAGATTGGGTGAGTGTGTTTCCTTTGTTCTCTTCCCCTAAAAGTTACTGTCAGAGTGAATGAGTGATTTTACAGCAGTGTTGGCCAGTTGAGTCTGCTTGTCACATGGTTTGATGCCAGTTTTTCCTATCCTTAGTCTTGACCTTTTTAAAACAGAAGGGACTTTTTTTTCTTTCATCTGGTAATCTTGGAATCACATGTAGTGTTCAGAGAAATAGAAGGTAGTGATTACTGGTGACTTCACCCAATATTCACATTCATGTCAACATGTTTATTGAGTGCCTACTGTGGTGCCTAGCAAGGTTCTTTTTATGGGACTGAATCTAGAGTCTTAGCCATTAGAGAAGGAAATATAGGGACCCAGAAGTAGTTCAGGTTCTTACTTCATCTATTTCAAAGGACCCTAAATTTAACTGACGCTTTATGCCTTAAGCATATTGCTTGTAGGAAAGATGTTTGGCCTAGTTTGAATGTGTTGTCTCTGTGTTCCTAGATTATTCGTATATATTACATATAATATATGTTTTATACATATATGTTTCAAGGGGTTAAATTAGTTTTACTGAATCTATTTTTCCCTCTAATGGTAAATTTGTAGAATTCGTCAGATCTTTTAATTGTTCAGAAAAGCTTCTATTTTAGTCATCCAAAGAATTCAACCCTTCTATGGTATCTAATATCGATATAGTTGTGATTCTATATATTTTTACACAACTCTCTAGTTATCTGCTGCCAGTTTTCATGTGATGTTTAAAAAGGTGATATATGTATGATAGATGGCCAGAAAAGACATACAAATGTTATCCTATTTTACTCTCTTAACTTTTGGTAGTTTTATTTTTATTTTCTCATCTTTTCCTAGAAGTGTCTCACCTAGCATTTCTTACCATTTTTACTTTAACCCAACTCTCCCAAGATATCACTGTTTTTCACCTTCTCTCTTTTGATTAGCAGTGGTACCCTTTCTTGTATAGGAAATGTCTACATTTCTCTTACTCAGTTTCTCAAGTCTAACATTTTGAGTATAAAAAAAAAAACTGAGTCCATGTTTAAGGGTGATTTATAGTCAAATTTTGCACAAGATTCAGAGTTTTATGTGTCAATAATAAAAATTTTACAAATTATTATATGAAACTTGGGATTGTACATGAGAGTTGGATAATGTAGACATTCATATACATCTTTCCTTAGTGACTCACTTTTTGAAAAGTGCTTTACAGTTTACAAATGGTATTCCTTACAACAAACCTCTGAGATAGTTCAAATCTAGTTTGGGAGTGATCTGAAGATATGGTTCATTATGTGAAAATAACTTGGTCTTGGCAATGTTCCTAGGTATGGTTTAAAAAAAATTTTTTTAAATTACTATTTAAGTTGATGTTAATTCACTTCCTTTGAGATTATATGCCAGGAACTGAGATCAGGGGAATTAATCTTCCTCTTTCAGCCTCTGAAGGAGGATTGAAATTTGAGCAGAGATGATATAAAAGAGCTTAGACGCTATTCTTATATGGAAAGAGAGCTTTTGCTTTGACAGGGATCTCATTAGCAGTGTGAAATAGAATGATAAGGAGGGATGAGAAGTGAGGTTTTGAGGGTATTCAAGTCTCTCTCAAGGATTTGTTCTCAGTATTAATTCCCATTATGTGTAAATAAATCTTAAGGCTAATTTACCTCTGGGGTTTACCATAATCATCCACCTGAAAGGACTAAATAGAAAGGGTTTGTGTAGAGAGAGGTAGGATTTGATCATTCACTGAAAGAGTGAAATAATATCAAAGGCACTGTCACTAGTGGAGAAGGCAAACAGCCTACTGTATGGTTCAGTAGGTCATTTTTTTATCAGCACAGTGGATAAAGTGCTGGGCTTAGAGTTAGGAAGACTCATCTTCCCAAGTTCAGATCTGACTTCAGTCACTTACTAGCTTCGTGACCCTGGGCAAGTCATTTAACCTTGTTTGCCTCAGTTTCCTCTTCAGCTGCAGAAGGCAGTGGCAAATCACTGCAGTATTTTTGCGAAGAAAACCCCAAATGGGGTCAGGAAGAGTCAGACACAACTGAAAAACAAAATTTGTAAAGGCACACTGGTTCAATTGCTATTACAGTTATTCTTTGCTAGAGTTCCTATTCATTTAACACAAACTTATATTATTTGGATTGTTTTTTTTTTTCATTAATCTTCGGAGTATTGAAGTTTAAAACAAAACTTCACTTGCACAGTTGGTGCTACTGACATATCTCACTTGAACCCATTTTCTAACCCCAACTATACTGTTTCACAGGATTTTCTTCTTGTAAAGTTGTAATGATAGTTACAATCAAAAATTAAGGGGTAGTAACTGAAACCTTTTCTAACTTTATATGAGGTTCTAATCTACAAATTCACTGGTGCCTTTTCATGAACTAGTGACTACAAAATAAACTACAGCAAACTGAGTCCTACCTTTATGTGACATAAGTTACTGCCCGACACCATTTACTTGACGGTTTTGAGAAAGTGGTAACTGGATTCTAGTTCATTTCATAGGTGGAGGAGGTCAGAGGAAGCCAGCCAACCAAATTTTGTTATAGCAGATTTAAGCAGGGAGAGAAGTTACTATTTTGGGGAAAATTTGCACTTTAAAATGATGCACTGGATGTTGATAGGAAGTACTTCCAAAGGATAGACGGATATTGATCTAACCTGCATGATAGTATCTTTGAATTAGACTTCACATAAGCTATGTCTAGTGAACCTGGCCGAAGCATGTATTTATAGCAGCTTCCCGAGAATCCCTATCGTAGTAAGTATTTCCTTAGTTGTCTGGTGCAATCTTCCATCTCCGCTGCGTCCATGGCGACGAATCTGTGTGATGTGACACATTAGAGTCCCTTGTACGATGCTGAAACCATGTAGAATCCTGAACAGAAGCTTTGTGAGTTACTGTTCCTTCACACATACTCTATATGTCTACTTTATTAATTTCGATGTTGGCTAAACAGAGTTGTGGCAAATAGTGCGGAGGTGGGTGGGAATTCTTTGCTTGTTTGGCAGGCAGGGTGCTTGCCTCTGGGGTGCTATTGCCCAAGGGGATTAATTCCATCAGAAGACTGATGGATGGAAACTGAAGGGAATGATCCCAGCAGCTCCTCCTATGCCTGTTGATGAGGAAGGGTCACTCTAGAAACCTGGCTTCTAGAACTGGCTCCAATTAGGGGGATATTTTAACATCTGCTTTGGTTAATAATCTCTTTTATACATAGAAGTTTTGTAGCATGACTTTATGGCTAAACATATTGTCTCCTAAATTATTTAGACCTATTTGGTTTCTAAATGTTATTTTGTGGAACTTGTTTTGAAATAGTAATAAATGGTGTTATTTTATAAAAAAAGAGTTAAAAGTATCTTTTTTCATATGACCACAGGATTAAGAAACCGTAGCAATTCCAGTCTGATTAATTTACCAGCGTTTGACCTTTGGGAAACTTTACTTTGAGACAAACATAATTTTTCACTCCTTCCTTTGCATCTTCACTTGCCATGAGAGTAGAGATTCACTGAAAACCAGAATTAATCATCTATTTTCTTCATTTGCCCTTCTGCATATTCTGCTATTTGTGGGCCTGTGGAATCCAACCTGCAAATCAAATGGGTCCACCTATCATTCCTTATCCTTGCTACTTGACTTACCTAGTACTAGCCTTTTCACCTGTTGGCCTACTTCAAGTACATCTAACACTCCTAACTTTGTGTGTGCATGTGTGCACCTCTCTTTATTTGTTAAGGGATCATGAAAGGATGTTCTGCACATAGTTCATCCCATGGTGCACTGGCTGACTATGAGCTTCCATGGAATGAATAGTTCGGGGAAAACTATAGGATTTGACCTTTCTGCCCTTAGAGGCAGCATGGTGGTATAGAGTACTGTACTTGACAAAGTCATGAGACACCAGGAAGGACCCTTACTACTTTGTCACCATTGGCACTTAGCCTCCCTAATCTGGAATTTCCTCCTCTGTAAAATGAGGAGGTGGCCTAGCTGTTCTCTCAAATCCATTCCAGCTCCATGATACAACCTGTGACCAAGCCCAGTTCCCACCAAAACATAACTTTCCACTATGAATTTTTAAAACCTTATTTAATAAAAGGTTTAGAGATATGGAAAGACATTCAAAAGTAAATAAGTTACATGGGTACATTACAATCACATCAGCAAGATTTTCTTTAGTGTATTAATTTTTTTTTTATAAAAAGCACACAAAAAATAAAATCTTCCGTCTGGTCTATCACAACTGTACAGCAAAAGAGGTAAATAATATATATAATATAATATATATGTACACTATTTTAATATGTAACAGTCTTTAAAAAGGTTGCCACAGGCAGCAAACACACAAAAGGCAGTGTCTGATCATTTTTTCAAAATAAAAGTAATATACTTATTTATATGCTATTAAAGCATTTATACAATAATTACAGACTGACTGTTCCTGTGCTCTATCCCCTCCCAAAAGACCTCCAACTTACAGATTTAAATAAGTAATGGCTGAAACAGCTGCAAATTGTTGTTAGCAATATTAACACAACACGATGGTAAGAGAGAATATCTGGTCTTAAATATAGAAATGTTTGCTAGAAACATGCATATTCTCTGTAAACCTCAAGAGTCAGGCTTTGCAGTCTGGTAACACCATCCCAGAAGCATGCCCCAGAAAGAACATTAAAACAGCTGAGGCTTGAATATGCATTGTATTCTCCCTTCATCCTAGCATGTGGTATGAGAATGAGAAGCAGCTTCACAGAGGCAGTTGAATGCAGACAATCCCTTTAGACCCAAGCAGCATATAAAACCCCTGTACCACTGGTTAAACTCCATTCGGTACAGTGGGAGGTATGTGGATGGCAGAAGAGGAGGGAATGTATTTTAACCATGGATGGAGATTAAAGGCAGTAAAACAAAAAAAAAATGGTACTACACTGCTCCCCATGTATAAGCTACAAGACCAAAGCCACGATCCAGATCAGAGGTGGGGAATCCCTTTTCTTTCAAAGGACAAAAGTCAGCCCAAGGAAACATCAAAAGGCAGCAAAGCATGCATCCACACTGTTACCAAAATCACACCCCAGGTTGTATAGCACTGACAGATGGCAAAAGGCCTGCCTTCAGGCAACAGGTTCCCCCATCCCGTCTAGATTCTGAGATCTGGGGGTGAGTGGTGATGGACATAGAATGATAGGGAGTGGGGATGAGGCAGAAATCCTTAAAGCTGGAGACTTCCAGTCTGATTATCCAACTTCCCAAAGCAATGGACTTTCTGATTAGGTTAAGCAAATAAAAGAAAAAAATGTGATTGAACCTATCACAGATAGAGAACAGCACCATTGAAGGATATGTTTAGCTTTGTTTACAGATTATGTTTTATATGCATTTTATTAGCCATGATTGCCTTTAATTCTTTAAAGATACAAATTTTTCTGTAGATAACTTTTCTCTCCCCAAATTAACAGAGATACTGCCTTGTCTTCCTTGCCTACCCTTACCCTGGAAGGTCCCTGCTAGCTGGGGGGAGGGGTGGAAGAGAATCACTTTATTATTCGAAGAATTCCAAGAGACTGGGCTCTACCACTTTCTGAGTGAATGGAAGGGAGGGTCTTCCTCTGGCTGAAGGTTTCTGTTACAAGAGCAGTTGTTGTGTGTCTAAGCAAGGACTGAAACTAAAGGAATTTTGAAATAGAAAAATCTTGGGACATGTAAGTAGCACTTCAGGGCTGAGCTGAGAAGGCACTCATAGAGCTTAGCTTCCTGCTTCTGGATCATCTACAAAATTTGAGACAAGCTTAGGACACTGAATTTGCACAATCTTATGGAGGAAAACAGATCAGGGGGCAAGGATTTAGGAAATCTAGGTCATTCTCTAGGAGGCTAGGCAGAAGGATTTGGTTACTCCCTCTGTGGGGGCCCTGGAGACCCATATTAATGTATAAATGAAGAATACCAGTGCATAGTTTACAAGCAATTCCCTCCCCCAAGTCAAGTCTGATGCACCTAGTTACCTGGACTCCCTCACTGGGAATGCTACTTCCTTTGGATCTCATTTATAAAGTTTAGGTATGCGACCAGAAAATAATCCATCCCTGGAATCAGAGAGGCTCTTCCAAATCCCACAGGCTATTTTCAAAACCTTTTTCTTGTTCTAAGTTTTCATTCCATTAATTCTAGTAAACCTGTATCTCACTAACAGTAGTTTTGTTTAGTTTTGGGAATAGAATCCTTGGCCTACTTGAATGAAACCCAAACTCAACCCAGAATTGAATGGGCCTTCCACCACCACTGCTCTGCAGGTGGAGGCAAGAAAGCTGAGCAAGCAGCACTGTTTTTGATTTCTTTTTAAAAAGAAAAAATCCTTTTCCAAATGTTGAATTTTCTGACTTGAGCTCTCTGTTGCTTTTAGCAGGTGTTCTGTGGTGGGTTTCCTCCACTGTCGGGGGCCAGTTCCCACAGTGATAGAGAAGGTCCTACACCCCAGGTACATGGTATCATTTCCCTCTGAGGGCAGGTAGATACCTTACTTTTGGATAAACAAATTGGGCCTCTGGAAAGCAACAGGCCCCTGCTCCCTGAGAGGATGTGGAAAATTACATATGAAAAATAAATAGCCCCCAAATCATAACCCTTTTCCATCTAGTTCAGTGACTGCTCTGATAGGAAAGGATCCAGAAATCTGAAGAAATCTGGGAGTCTGTGCCTTCCAAACAACAGCGGTCAGTCACAGCATGAAACCCGAGGGCTTTATTTTGGCAATTTGAGGGGCTGGGGATGGACTGGTTCAGGCCTTAGAACTATAGGAGACCATCACCAGGAGAGCTGAAGGCTGTCAGCTCAGGCATCCCCTTAGGATTATTAAGTTTAATCATAAGGAGGAGGTCCTGAATGACTTTTAGCTAGTCACTCCTTAAGTACCCTCTTTCACAGTAGCTAGGGACCAGAAAGCATCTGGCAAGGGGTTGAGAAATAAGGATGAGTCCAATTTAGTAAAAACTTGGCCACCTTTTGCTCTGGAGGCAGCCTTCTCACCAATCCTTTCCCTCCGGCAGAGACAGCCCTCTCACTAGCTCCTTTTCCCCAGGAAGGTTTATCAGCAGAGACAGGTGCCACTAATTTTGGCTTGGATCTCCAAAGGTTTGAGAAATTCATCTCAGCTCTAGGCAGAGTTGCCAGGAAACAGGAAAGCTAAGACCCTGAAATGGGTAGTGGGGGAAAAAAATCTGGATCTCTGCCACTTCCTCCTTTCACTCTTTTCCCATCTGTCCAGGCGCACAATGCATACCCAGCAGCCTCCCTCCAGGGGAAGAAGGGATGCTGGGAATGGATAATTAGAGAAGCTTTGGTTTGGGTATCAGTGTGCTTGCCTGCTCCTTACTCTCCCTGGCCGGGGGCTTGACCAGGCTAGTACAAAGTGGCAGGTTCAAGGAGAAGACCAAATGTTCCTCTCCCGGAAGGGGCCACTCTGCCTTACCCACCTGAGCCAGGAAGGAGAGACCCTGCGAGCATCTTGCTGGCAGAGTTGCTCAATTTCTGGTGGCATTCAGTAAGCCGTGTCCAGGAGGATAGGGTGAAATCTTGCAAACTTGAGCTAAGCTTTCCATCCCCTAAAATATCTTCCAAGTGACTCGGGATGAATGGAAGGCCAAGAAAAAGGAGGAATTGTGCAGCAAGAGTTTGGTGTCCAAAAAGCAGCAGAAGTAGCAGCAGCAACCAATAGCCTCATGGCTTGGTGGGGTGGGGAGATCAATGGCTTCAGGCTGGAAGTCTCCAGAAGCATGAGAGAAGGAGTCCTACCATTCTGAAAAAGCACAGAGACAAGGTCTGACGGACTCAATATAAGGAGAACTGGGTCCTGCCCCAGGTAACACTGTTCCCAGGGCCTTTATAAATTAAATGAAAGCTTGTCTTTTGTTACATATTTTTTTAAGTCTTCACGATTCCCTTCTGACTCCCCGGTGAGTGTCCGTTGGGCCAGGCAGCTGCAGCCACAAGGCGGGTGAGGGTGCAGAGAGGGAAATCACCCAGCACAGGGAGAGTGGGGGAGAACCAGCCTCACTGCTTTCCCGGCTCAGTCCACTACCTTGGCTCGCTACACCTCGCCATCTTCATCTGAGCTCCCACTGCTGCTGCCGCCGCCGTCGCCGCCGCCACCACCACCACCACCGCCACTGTTGCTGTTCTCCCGTCGGGCCTGGAGGCGGGTGGCAGCAGCTGCTGCTGCGGCTGCTGCCGCCGCAGCTTCCTTCTCCTTCTGCTTTAGCGCTGCCGCCTTCTTCTCCTGCTCTGCGTGGCTCTTCATGTGGGCGCTGCGACTCTTTACCTTGAAGAATACCCTGAAAAGGGATACAAAGACAAAGCTGGGCTACAACCAGACTCCCTTCATAGCTCCACAGAACTGGGCTCTCAAAGGGCATTGTCTGCTATCATCACAACTTTCTCAGGTTAAAAAGTCTGGGATAAGAATCACCAGTGTCAAAGTGCAGTGTAAAGAGCCAGGACATGGGTTCAAATCTCACCCCTGATATTTATTACCTGGATAGTCACACTAGCCTCCCATGGCCTCAGTTTCCTTCTCTGCAAAATGAGAGAATTGAACTAGATGCCTTTCTCTATAGTCCTATGTACTCAATCACTAGCTACCTCACGTCCTGGCTAGGTCCTTTAAATGATGCCCCTCGATGCCTAGCAATTGGGGAATGGCTAAATGTAATGGAATACTATTTATTACACTGTTATGAAATAATGAAAGGGATAGTTTCTGGAGAACAATGTCTACAACAGCAATATTGTAATGATAAACAACTTTGAAAGACTTCGTTATAACTCTGATCCACACACACAACAGCAAACCACAATTCCAAATGACTAGAGGAAGCATGCTATCTACCTCTGGATAGAAAGCTGAGTCACAGTGCAGACTGAAGCCTGTTTTTCTTCATTTTCTTTCTTCTGTTTGGACATCGCTAATGTGGGAATTTGTTTTGCACGACTACACATGATTGTAATTTTTTTTTTCTCTCCTTAGTGGATGGGGGAGGGAGAAAATTTGGAAATGCAAATAAAACTGAATTTAAAAAATAAGACCAATGCATAACAATAATTAATCACACCCCTCAAATGTTGAGTAGGCAACACCATCCCTGCCCCAGTCAGGAACAAGGGTAAGCAGGAGTCGGGTGGTTGGTTGCAGTTATATTTTAATTACTCATTTCCCCCTAGAGCTAGGCTCCAGGCCACCTTCCTGTCATCTGCCCTGGCTCAGGCACCTTTCAGACTACTTAACCTACAAAGGCCAGGGGGTAGAGAGGGTGCTTAATCCACTCAATTTTGAAACTCCCACCCAGGAAAGGTATGGAGCTATCCTGATTGATGAGTGAGTGAAGACTCATATAGCTCAAATCCAGCTGCCCTCAGACCAAGCTTCATGTACAATCCAACCTTCTATTCACATCACCTTTCCCTGCAGCTAACGCAACCACCACCTTTCCACCTCTTGCTCTGGGAACCATAATCAAATAAATTTTACCATTGCTTTTGAAAAGGGTACGTCAGTCAGTCAGACTCCCTTGGGGCTACTTTCACCATTGTTAAGTCTTCTCAAACCCAAAACCTCCCTTCTTTGGTAACCAATTCCCTGTCTGTGTTGTCTCCCTGCCCCCAATAGAATGTAAGCTCCATGGAAGACAGGCACTAGCTCACTTTCATATTTGCATTCCCAATGCTTAGCAAGGTGCTTAGCATAGAGTAAACACTTAAGGAGTGGGTGTGTTTCTACAGAACATTCTGAGCAAAAGTGAAGCAACCAGGGGCATCTAGGTAGTGCAGTAGATAGAGCACCAGCTCTGGAGTCAGAAGGACCCGAGTTCAAATCCGGCCTCAGACACTTGACACTTACTAGCCGTGTGACTCTGGGCAAGTCATTTACCCCTGACTGCCTCACCAAAAAAAAAAAAAAAAAAAAGTGAAGCAAACCCACCACAGGCAAGAAGATGGAAGGCAGAACAGGTAAACTAGTCCCCCATCCATGACCATCATGATTCAACATTAAGCCCTATGTGTTATTCACTGATTCTCACTCAGTCCTGCACCCATACCATGTTACATTGCCTCCCTTTGGGGTATAATTTTGATGTAACAAGTTCCCAAAGATTTCATTAGAATCTTGCTGATCTAATCAGTGTGCTCAACCCTAGACCCAACAGCCCAGGCTCCAACCTGGCCTCCATGTCTTTTAAGAAATTTCCCTATTTGTCCTCCAAATATAGCCCTGCAAGCGCCCAGCAGCAGCTGTCCAGAGGAGATCAGGATATAAACATCACCAGAGATGATGCAGGAGCAGGGAACACTAAACCAGTCTGGAAAATAACCTGAGAGCTCAGGTTTATTTAGTACATGAGCTTTAGATATACTGTCTCATTTGAGGTGAGGCAATACTACTGATATTATCCCTATTTTGTAGATGAGGAAACTGAGAGTCAGAGAGATCAGGTGACCCTGGACAAGTATCAAAGGTAGGATTCAAACCCAGGCCATCCTGACATCAAGTCCAGCATGCTATCTATTACGATGCACCAAATACAACCTTAACCCTTGTGCTCCCTCCAAATCCCAAGCCATTAGAAGGTAGAGTGACGTCAGCTGCATTGGCAGGTGTCTTCGTTATCCCTCAAGAGCCAACTCTGCCCATCACCCCACTGGTCCATCATCTTGCCCACTGTCCCATCAAGAGCCCAAAGCTTTGGTCTTTTCCCAGTTCTCGTTACCAGGCACCCACCCTACTGCCAATCGGTTGGAACTCAAGTCTGTCTTCGTACCTGCCACATTTTTTACAAGGAAATGTGCTGTCCTGGTTCTGGGTTTTACTTAAGGTCTCTGTGGTCTTCTTTTCTGTGATGGGTCCACCTCTTCGAGATTTCCCGGAGCTCTCCTTAGGCTTTTCCGTGGCTCGGCTGCTGGCCACCCCAGGAGCACTGGACTCATGGCTCCTGAGGATGAGGACATCATTGATCTGGACAGATGAAGACAAGGCAATTGCATCAGTTTGGGATAAAAGAGCTATTGTAGGAGAAGAGAACCATGGCCCGAGCTTTGCCTAGAATGGCAAAGAATCCTATGGAGACTTCATAAGTACCTGCTTTCCTAGGAAGCCCTGGAAGCTTGCCATTAGCTCTGTCTGGAGCTCCTGCTTCTTTATTTTTTTTTCTTAAATTTTAAGGCAGTTAAGTGACTTGCCCAGGGTCACACAGCTAGTACGTGTCAAGTGTTTGGTCTGAGGCCAGATTTGAACTCTGGTCCTCCCGACTTCAGGGCCGGTGCTCTAACCACTGCACCACCTAGCTGCCCCAGGAGCTCCTGTTTCTTGCTAAATTCAGTTCGTATGCCTGAACTAGAGTAACTCCCTTCTCTTATTCTTTTTTGAAATAATTTCTAAATTTGTGAACCTGGCAGTTCTCAACAAATATGAACACATCTAGACACACAGAAGAGCAAAAAACAAGAGTTACAATATGAAATCACGAATCCACCATGTACAGCTTGTTTTTTTAAAAAAATAAATAAAATTTGACATGGTAGTACCAACACTGCCCTTGTCCGTATCCCCTTACAAACTTCCTTTCGCTTTCTCTCCTGTGTTTTTCAAATGTTTCATCGATGCTTTCCTTTCTTTTGACATCTTTTTTTTTTCATCCCTCCTCTCCTCCCCTCCTCCCCAAATAAAAGCCTTCCCTTGTAACACCAGCCCCCTTGTTCAGGAGTCACTGCGCCACTCCCCACCTCCTAAATACTTTTCCTCCAAATGAAACGCTTCCCAGGTGAGTCCCACCCCCGGCAAGTCTTCCCTTCCTGCTCCAAAGGCCAGTTCCAGCTTCCAATCCATTGCTTCTTGGACCTTCATTCCCTCCGCCCAAAACATCCTCCTCTGGGCTTTAACTCAAGGTCCCTGTCACCGGAACTAGGTCTTGTCACCATCTTGGGCAGTATTGCTTCAACTCTCTTGGTGCCCACCTGAAGGCAAACCTCTTCCCTTCTAGTCATCCCTTACCATACCAGCCAACCTCGCACCTGGGCCCCAGGTGTGTGAACCAATTCAAACCTGTAACACTTTAGGGAGGTGGGAAGGGGCTGATAGTCATGCATTTTGTGTCAGAGACCTCTCTACATACCCAGTGTGAGACCCAAGGGGTGCTCGGAGCTCTCAGCCGGCCCCAGTCAGGGTAAGACACTCACCGCTTCATTGGCTTGTATCGTCTGGGCAGCTTTGACAGCTGCTGCCCTCCGACTCCTCTCCCGCACCTCTTCTTGCTCTTCCTGCTTCCCTTCCTCTTCCCTGTCCTCCTTCTTGGCCTCCTTCTTGGCCACCGCACATTCTTCACTTGGGGCCTCCCTTCTGGGAGGCTGGACCCTTGTCAACCTCTGGGAACTCTTAAAATGGGAAAAAGAAAAGAGTGAGCCGAATCTTTGTCGTCTTCTGCTTTGTCGCTAGGACTCTTTTTAGAAACAGACCTCAATCCTCCTATTTCAGAACTAGTATAGGACAGAGAGGGGAGTCACACAAATATTTGGGGCTGAAAGCCCAAAGCAAGAAAAACCCACAGTAATCTGGATCCAGCCCTTCTCCATAGGCTACTCATCCCAGCAGGCCAGAACCACAAAAGAAGACCCACAGTGGGCAGTGTGGTCTCACAGGAAAAAGCTCTAGCCTAAGAATTTAGGGACTTACACTCTAGTCCCCATCCTGCCATGAATTAGCTGCAGGATCTTCAGTTAAGTCACCTCATCCAGATTACCAAGATTTGGAGAAGCTCAGAGTCAGAAAGGACCTCACGAGGCATTTAGTCCAATCTCTACCTGTATAGGAATTCCTCTACAACACCTTTACCGCCAGCCTCTGCCTGAAGACCTTAAGAGATCAGGGATTTCAGTAGCTCCCAAGATGGTCCATTCAATTGGGCCGTGACTGTCAGGAAGTTTTTCCTTATATCAACCGTAAATCTGTCTCTCTGCAGTTTGCGTACACTACTTCTAGTGATGACTACTAGAGCCAACCAGGCTTGTTCTAAGCTCTCTTCCACATGGCCACCTTCAGACCCTTGAAGACAGTGATCATCCTTAACAGTACTTCTTCAAATCCACACATCTATCCCTCCGGGGTTAAGCAATAACCCTGAGGGTTCTCAGTCTCTTCCAGCCCGACCCCACCTCAATTTTCCCATCAGTAAAATGGGAATAACATTGTTTCTCCCTAACAGAGTTGTCACGATGATATGATGGGATAATACACGTGAAATCCCTCTGAAAAATTTCCCAAAGTGACCCACAAACATGACACACTTCTACTGTGTCCACCATTATTACCAGTAGGCAGCTAGGTGGCACAGTACATGTGCCTATTGTCAGTAAGACCTGAGTTCAACTCCATCCTCAAGATACTTCCTGTGTGACCTTGGGCAAGTCACTTCACCTATCTGCCTGCCTCGGTTTCTTCAACTGTAAAATGGGGGTATTAACAGCACCTGTATCCCAAGATTGTTGTGAGGATCAAATGAAATAATATAATAACATATTATCATTATTAATAATATATTAACATTACCTAATAATATAATTTAAAAGCACTTAACAGAGCCTGGCAAATGTGTTGTTGTTGTTGTTGTTTAATCACGTTTGACTATTCATGACCCCACTGTGGGTTTTCTTGGCAAAGGCACTGGGGTAATTTGCCGTTTTCTTCTCCAGCTCATTTTATAGAAGAGGAAACTGAGGCAAACAGGGTTAAGTGACTTTGCCAGGGCCACACAGTTAGGAAGTATCTGAGGTCAGATTTGAACTCAGGAAGATGAGTCTTCCTGACTCCAGGCCCATTACTTTATCCACTACTCAACCTAGTTGCCTACAGCCTAGCAAATAGCAGGTACCTAATAAATCTTCCCTTTCTATCTATCTCTTCCTTCCATTCCTCCCTCTCATCCTTCCTCTACCACCCATCCACTCTACAGGGAGAAGGGTCCAAAACCCTTGTTCTATACAATTGACTCAAGATAACTCCTCAGGGACTGAGCCCTGGAGCATTCTGCCCCTTCCTTCCCACTTCCTCTCAACACAACTGAGGGCCTATGAGGAACCAAATCCCAAGAGTCTTGGCTACTCAGACAGGGGAGGGAATCACCTTAACGTCCACTTCCATTTCCTCCTGACCCAGCTTTTCATCGGTGGCATCGATATCCCCGAAGGTCAGGGTCCCATTTCGCCCAATCTTCACCTGCTTCTTGTAGGTGTAGTAGAACTCTACACACTGGGCCACTGTTTTGGTCTGAATCTGGTTTGGAGTCAAAATGGCAGTCAGAGACCCTCGATCTCTTTAGCTTCATTTGTCCTGCCCCTCTTCCCCACTCTGCTGGTCTCTCCCCCCCCCACATCTCCTCCCCTGCCTCCAAACAGTATACTACAACAGATTAATTTATTAATTTATTAAGTACCTGATACGTGGAGGGCCCTATGTTAGGCACTGAGGATACAATGACAAAAGTGAAACAGTCCCTGACCTCAAGAAGCTTATATTCTATCAATCTAATGGGTGCAAGTGAACAGATACAAAATAGCAGTGGTTTTCTCAGCACAGGAAATGGCTCAGTATGGGGCTATGCAGCTGGCAAGTGCCAAAGGCAGGATGTGAACCCAGTTCTTCCTGGCTCCAAACTCAAAATTTGATCCATTATGCTGAATACTAACTTATGCAAATAAGGATAGTACAAAGAAAACTGAGGACAGAGGGATCAATAACACCTGGGGGGATCAGGAAAGGTGTCACAAAAGGAATGGCATCTGAGTTGAATCTCGAAGGAAAAATTCCGAGAGGAAATGAAGAATGAGTACATTCCAGACATTGGGGTGGCTTATACAAATGCATGGGGGTGGGAGATGAGAGTATTGTTCTCAGGCAACAACTAGTATTCCAGGTTGGATGGCAGACAGAGGTCATGAAGGGGCAAAGTATGAAATAATGTTAGAAAGGAAGACTGGAGGGTCTTAAATCCCAAACTAAGGAATTTGGATTTATTGGAGCGCAAAAGAAGGGCCTCCAAGTTCTTTCCTGGATTTCTCATATTCTCTCTCTCCTCCCTATCCCCATATCCCAAAAGCTTTTATACCTTAATACTACACTAAGACTTTTGAGATTCCTGGCATACATCCATCTGGATTTTACATACACATCACTGTAGCGCTGAGGTTAAGTCACTTGCCTATGGTCACACATCGCTATATTTTTCTATCTATACTTCTAGGCATAGATATTAATTTATATCTAAATGGAGTGTGTGTAGGCATATAGAAAGGGTAAAAGTCACATATGTTTGTGTTTTTGAACACTCTTGGAGAACAAGTGGCTCACCAAGAAACTAACAGATTAAACAAGAGAATCAAATGTCCCCAAGATGGTTGACTAAGGCAGACCCTGGGCAAGTCACTTAACCCCATTGCCTCAAAAAAAAAAAAACCAAAAAAACCCCAAAAAACTAAGGTGACACCCATGTGTCAGGGAAGTAAGTATGACAATCTCTAAGTCAAACCCAAAATTACACCAAGAGGGGAAAAATGAGCATTTCTTTATTTCTCTCCCTCCTTCCTTCCTTTTATGCAGATACAGGATGGGAGGTCCTGCTCTTGGAGACAGAAAAACCTAGGTTTGTGTTCAACTATTGCAGAATTTCACAGACTTTAGATCTTTCTCTATTAGGCATAAAGCCACAGTCAATATTTTTACATTCTCATAAGGGTACAGGATTTTATTGACAATTGCAAATTGATTTTCTTCACAAGAAAAGTATAAGCTGAAGCAAATCTATGAATTTGCTGGTGGCCTCTTCGGTCTTTAGAACTATTACCCATCCTTTCGTTCTTTACAGGAGGGAAGCCTGGCATTCCACGTTCCCCTTCCAAGACTGCACTGAGCCATCCAAGCTCATACCCCATTCCCCATCTAATACATTTAATTAATGATTAACTAGTAATTTTCCAAGATGAGACTTAGTACTCTTAGGTACGTATTCAACCCAAAAAATCAATCTGTTTCCAGAGGGGCTTGATTGGAGAAAACCCTTTGTGAGTTTTCCCATTTAGCTCAGATGCCGTCTCCTACATGAAGCTTTTCCTGACCTCCTTCTTCCCAACTGTTAATGCTTTCTCCCTCCCACTAAAATTACTTTGTATTATTATGATTATGGGTTGTATCTGATTAGAATGAGGGATAACTTAAGGAAAGTCTGGGCGATCTGCTGGCATTTTCCTTCAGATGACAAGAGAAAGAGAGGAAGGTCCTCAGCTTCCCCTGTGACAAACTTATGGAGGGGCATGGAGAAAAACCCTAGAGGAGGGGCAGGTGTGGATGGGCTGCAATATCCATGTTTGGAGGGAACACCCACATGAATGAGAGCTCAGAGACCCATTGGTGTTTCAAAGTATTTTTGGATATACTTTGTGCTTACTTATCTTGTACACATATTATTTCACACACAAGCACCTATGTGTGCACGTGTGCACATACATGTAAACTGTCTGATGACAGAGATTATTTCATATTTGGTTGTGTATTCCCCAGTGCCTAGCACAGTGCCCAGGACATCCAGTTGCTCAGTTGACATTTCTAGCAGCCAGAGTTCAAGGGACTGACAATATGAGGGACAACTTGTGAGGACAGGGAACAGAAGTGCTCCCCAACTTCCAATTCCCAGGCTACTTGCTGGGTCTGACGTCGCATATCTGCCTGTTGCCCGTCAATCTGGGGGTGATCTCACTGTCTGATGCTGCTAATTGCCACCCTCTGCAGCAAGCACTCTGGCCGATGTGGCAATGACTCACTTCTGCCCACTGCCCTCATTTACCTCCCCAGCTATTATTGGCCTTAAGTCCAGAGGGTCTGAAGAGGCATTATAGGCATCCTCACAGGTCTGAGGCAGAGGCCTAGACAAAATAGTCCTTCTCAAGGAAATAAGAGGCAAGCAGGAAAAAAGAAGAGGAACAAAGAGGGGTGGTGGAGGATGACTCACTCTTCAGAATGAAAACTGAGGGGACGCTTTAACTTGGCTGCTCCTTCTTTAGTCTGCTCTTTAAGCAGCTCCAAAGGCTTCTTTTCATTGGCAGAAACCAAGGCTGAAGTGGCTCTAATACCCTCCCTATACCAACCACCCTCCTCCCCTTTAGATAGTCTTTTTCCAGCTTCCTTGACAGATTTTTTTCACGTGATTCTCCTTTACACACTGTCTTCCTTGCAATGAAAATGGCCCAACTGCAGCTAGCTGGTTGTTGGACCTCAGCATTCCATATCAGCCTCAGCCTTTCTTTCATTCTTCTTTTGGAGGCAATCACGGTTAAGTGACTTGTCCAGGGTCACCCAGCTGTTAAGTGTCTTAGGCTGGATTTGAACTTAGGTCCTCCTGACTCCAGGGCTGGCGCTTTATCCACTGTACCATCTGGCTGCTCCTTTTGCTTTTCTTTCTTCACATATGCTACCACTGATTCCTGGAAGGTACTCCCCTCATCACCTCTGCCTCTTAGAATCTTTTACAGCTGAGCTCAAATGTTACCTCCCATGAGAAAGTCTTTCCTGACCCCCAATCCCCAATCCCAAAGTGTCTTCGTGGTTTCTCTCCCTCCTTATATGAGACTGAATTGAATGACTTGTTTGAAGGCTAAACCTCCCAGTAGAACATAAGATCCTTTAGGCCAGGGACTGTTTTCCATTTTGTTTTCTTATCCCCAGAAGTTAGTGCCTTGAACATACTAGACTGTATTGAATTAAATTGAATTTCTTCCCATATGGAAAATGCCCTCTAACTCACCAACTTCTGCACCAAGAAGAAATCCTTCTTGTAGATGGCAATGCCCTTATTGAATAATTTTTTTTCAGCTACTTTCCACTGGTCAGACCCTGTGGTGAGGCAGGAAGAGAGGAATGAGAAGAGAATGAAAAGCCAATTCAGTTCAAAAGAAATTCCTTAGGAGGGCCGTTAAAAGGGGAACATGGTAGATGAGGTAGAGAAACTTTCCTTCCACTTTAAAGGACGCCCCATCATTTTGGAGGTCCAAGTCTACACTGAAGGACCAGATACACTATCATTTTAGAACCCATCTCTTCCTCCCAACCCCTTCCTGCTGATCTCCTCCCTCCCTCCTCTTAGGTGGGACCAGGTTGAGGGACAATCCTAGAGATCTTCCCTGCTGAGGGTGAATGTGTAAGCTTCATGAGGGTAAGGACCATGTCTCATGTATTCTCCCATGATGCCTTCCACATTAGACTCCAGGGGTTCAGGGTACACCCCAGATCTCTCCATAGCACTAGGAATGGTATGAAAGGGGTCATAACTTTGCTGAGGGTAGCCTAAGAAGGAACCTTACTATGTCCCTCCTGACCTTCAAGTCTCAGCTAAGAATTCACCACCTGCACAAAACCTTCCATGACTCAACCCCACCCATCCCCAATCCGTCGATTTTCTCTGGCAACCTCTCAGTCACATATCCAATTTCCTTACAGTCTATGGTACTTCTGTTGTTGTCAATAACAATTCATGTTTACTTAGCAAGAGCCTTCCTCCTCTCCCCTCTCCCTCTCCCTCCAGTATTTAGAACAGAATGTGCCGTACCCAGCAGGGGCTCCACAGATGTTGGGTAACTGGTCCCTTCCCCTGCTCACCTGTATAGTGGTAATTAGCCAGTGGGTGATCAGGAGGTCGAAGTGGCTTTTTCAGCAGCAGTTTGGTCAGCGTTGCCTAAGGGAGGAAACAGGAAGGTCATGGTCCCTGCTGGAGAGTACCCTGGTACTGGGCAAAATGTCCCAAGTACCAGGTCAAGGCCTAGCAGTCCTGACATAACTACCTTTGTGCTCTCTCACTGTCCCTAAGAAAAAAAAATATTTTCCTTCGCAGAGTGGAGCACTGGCTGAGTTGAACATCAAGCAGAAGGGAACTGTAGCATCTTGTCTAGCCTTATTTGACATAGGTGGACACTGAGATCCATGGAGATAAAAGTGGCCCGCCCAGAGTAATACAAGGACCAGAACTCAGATAATTGAGAATACTGGAGGGAGGAATGGACTTGGGGTCGGAGACCTGGGTTCAAATTCTTGCTCTGCTACTCACTGTCTATTGAACCTCAAGGAATTCAATTAGCTTGGGTGGGTCTCAGTATCCTCAAGGGTAAAATGAGAGGAATAGATGGACCAGATGACCCTTGAAGTGCTTTTCAGCTACTAAATCTACAATCCCATGATCCCAAGTCACTTGATTCCTAATCTGAAGCTCTCTCTGCCATACTCTCTTCCATAAGACAATATGCCAAGGGGTTAGTCTGCTCAGGCGACTATAAGAGCAGTCGGAAGGGACTGATAATTCTTCTAGGATCCGTGTCAGCAAAATCATCCTTTCAGGAGGCAGGAAAACATTTCCACCGTGCTACCCCCTCTCTGGGGCATACACAGTTGCTCCTTCTCTCACCTTCACCCAAGCCTTCCAAGATACATAGTATAGCCCACTGCACACACCAGGCACTCAAGGCAGTCAGCTGGAACAGCTCCTAGGCCTTTCTCCACTGTAGAGTCCTGCTCTAGGATAGGCAGAGTTGAAAGCAGCCCACATCTACCTTACCCTCTGACTAGGCAATTTGTGTTGGCCCCTCCCTATTCAGCCACTTATCTCCCGCCTTTGACAACAGCACCCTTCTCCCCCTTACACATGATCCATAATGCCCCTTGTGCTGGACCCCATCTCACCAAGATGTCCCCCTTGGCTTCATGCAGGCAATGCAAGGCTAACTCCTGGTTGGTTCCAGCCCCAGGAAAGATACTAGAACAGGCAGCGGTCAGTAGGTCTTCCACTAGTTCCAGAAAGATTCCCATAGAGAAAACCCCAAGGAAGATGGGAATAAAAAAAAAAAAGAAAACTTGGTTCAGAAACTCAGGAGGGTTTAAAAAAAGAATGCAGTAATTCAGAAAATTGGGCCCTTCCCTCAATCCCTGGGGTCCTCCTCACCTTGCCCTTGAGTCTCCCTGCTAGCATCCAGATTTCCCCATGGCTGCCAGACCAGGTCAGCTTTATGTTCATCCATAGCTGCCAGGGCCCTGTCCCGGATTGGGGGGATTTCCGCTTGGAATCTAGTCCCCACGTTGATTCGACTTAGGGAGAAGAAAGGATAAGCTGTAGGGTATCTAATCTCTCATAATGCAAATGGTAGCTCCTCCCAGCCCTGGCCCCGGCCCCACCCATCAAGATAAGGACCCGAGGTCCTGACCCCAGAAGTAGAGGAGGAAAATGAGTTGAAAGCTCAAGGGAGCGCACAAAACTGGGCTGGAGATCCAACCACAAACATGGCTCCATTTGAGGCAGAGTGTTCAGTGGGCTCCTACCTATGGGGCAAATGGTCTCTAGGGGAAAACTTGTCTTCTGTTGCCAGTGGTGGCCTGTGCCTTCTAGGCAAAGAAAAAATATGGAGGTTGGTAGGAGATAAAAAAAGAAACTTCAAATGAGGTTTTAGAGATCGACATCAATACATAAAAAATAAGCTTGGAATGGGGCATAGAAATCTATCCTGCACTACATGAAAATAGAAGGGGAAGGGGATAAGAGAACGGGGGGGGGGGGGGGTGGGGGGGAGAAGGGGGGGGGGGGGAGGGGGGGGGGGGAGGGGAAGGGGTATTCAGAGGGCGCGGGGGGGGGGGGTGGGGGGAGGGATGAGATGGGGAGAAAAATTGGAACTCAAAGTCTTTTGGAAATGAATTGTTAAAAACTAAAAATGAATAAATTAATTTAAAATTTAAAAGAAAATAAAAAATAAGCTTGGGAAACTGCCTGGGCATAGACACTTAATAAATGTTTATTGATTGATAAGTGGAAATTGGCCCTAGACTCTCACCCTGAACACTGCACTATAGTCAGAGATGGGGTGGGTTTGAAATGAACAACTCTAGAACAGGCAGAAAGGGGCTCCTTAATGGAGACCAAGGTCCACTCACGTGTTACCGCCCCCCTTGCTATTCTCTGTTGGGACCTGCCAGTCACTCCCCTTTTCTCTAAAACAGAAGGGCATTCTCTACCCCAGTGGTCAGCAAAGGATCGAATTCTAACACATGTAGGGTTCCTAAAGTAGGTCACTTCCATTTTCACTTCCTTTTCCCTCATACGCTTGAGAAGAAGAGTATGAGACTGTTTTTGTGTAAAGGACTGGGGCAGCCAGGGTGCAAAGGTAGCCTTCTTTGAAACACTTACGGCTCAATGCTGACAGGCGTAACTTCCCCCATCACAGAAAGAACAGGTGGAGTGACTTCAGCACTGTCTGAAAGACAAGCAACACATTTATGAAACAGTCCAAAACATGTGGGGAGGACAGTGGTGTGTGTGTGTGCTGCCGGAAACTCGCTTCTAAGGAAGCTCCCTCTTAGTTGTACCCTTGCTCGGTGCATTCTACCCCAACATATCTAACCCCTAAAACAACCTCCAACCTACACTGTTGCAGATAAACCTCAGGGACTTCCTGGGCCAAGGGAGGCTCGGCATTACAGCATTACTGGCAGCAAATGACATCAAGAGAAACAGGATTTGTAAAATGATGACTAATTATTAACAGCAATTATTAACACTGCTATCTCTTAATTAAGCTTGGAACCCACCCTTCCTTTCTGTTGAGGCAGCTAGGTAGCACTGTGGCTCCACAGAAAAGACTGTCTCAGCAGAGAGGAAGGCTGGATTCCAAGCTTAAGTGCTTAAGGAGACCTAAATTCAAATCCTGTCTCAGATACTTATTAGGTCTGACCTTGGGCAAGCCACTGAACCAGGCCACAGTGAGAATTATTATCATGGGAATAATAACAGCACCTACCTTACAGGGTTGTGGTGAGGTTCAAATGAGATAGTGCATTAGTAAAATGCTTTGCAAGGCAGCTAGGTGGCTCAGTAGATAGCGCACTGGGCCTGGAGTCAGGAAGACCTGGGTTCAAATCCAGTCTCAGACTTTACTAGCTGTGTGACCCTAGGCAAGTCATTTAACTTCTCCTTGCCTTAGTCCACAGGAGAAGGAAATGGCAAACCACTCCATTATCTTTGCCAAGAAAAGTCCAAGGCCAGTACTGGTGTGCAAGGACAATGAGGTCAACTGAACAACAAAGTACTTTGCAGACCTTAGAGCACAAGTTAGTCTAACCCCCTCAAGAGATGAGAAGATCTCTTGGGTGGAATACTGGAAGTCTCCAAAATGGCTCTCTCAGATCTAATCCATCTGACACAATACTGTCTGATTTGGGAGAGGAGGTGCCTGGGGGGTGGTGGTGATCTAAGTCTGGGAGATGTCAATAGACTGGAGAACTCCTTCCATTAGTGAAAATTAGCAAACCCCAGGGACTTAGTCTCACAGACTTGCCTGGGACACTGAGAAGTCAAGAGACACTAGCCCAAGCCCATTTAAGTGTGGGAACTACACCCCTGCCTTCCTGGTCTCCAAGGCCATTCTTTGTCTTAGTTTTTAGGATTTAGGATTGCCTAAATACTGTAGGATTTAGTTGTCTTTTGCACATACTACTTTCATCCTGTCTCTCCCAGGCTTAAACAAAGCTTTCAAATCATAGTCCAATACTTACAGGGTAAAATCCAAACTCCGCCACCAAGCTTACAAGACCCTCCACAATCTGGCTCCCTCTCATCTTTCCAGTCTCCCCTCCCCCACCTGTACCCTGCCCTAAGATTCAACCAGACTATTCTCCTCTGTTCCTCAGTCACCTCGGTGCTTTCGATCATCCTCTTCTCTCCATTTGAAACAAACTGCTCTCTCCCAGGTCTTCTTGGTCTAATATATTCCTAACCTCTACCAAAATCAGCAATTAGATGGTGCAGTAGATAGAGTATTGGACCTGAAGTTCAAATCCATCCTCAGACACTTACTAGCTACTTGACCCTGGGCAAGTGACTTAACCCCTGTTTGCCTCAGTTCCTCAGGTGAAGAATAGGGACACACTGGAGAAGGAAATGGCAAACCACTCCAGTATCTTTGCCAAGAAAACCCCAAATGGGGTCACAAAGGGTTGGATACAACTGAAAAACGACTGAACAAATATTTGCTAATCAGTTGATCTCTTCTCTGCCTTCAGTCTAACTTCAGAAGTGGCTTCTTGTTGAACTATCTCAAACTCAGGACAGAAAGGAAGAAGGACATGGGCTATAGTCTGCAATTCTACTCAGGGGGAGGTGGAGAAGGTAGTGTGGAATAGGGGAAAAAACCCATGACAACACTGTTGTCCTTCTAGGCAACCACCAGAGAGAGCCAGAGCAGCGTCACTGTATGGGGTGAGGTGGAGGGCTGAAATCATGCACACATATTCCTCCAAGTCAACTTTTTTCTTCTTTTTGGCTAGGCAATGGGGTTAAGTGACTTGCCCAGGGTCACACAGCTAGTAAATGTTATGTGTCTGAGGCCGGATTTGAACTCAGGTCCTCCTGAATCCAAGGCCGATGCTCTATCCACTGCGCCACCTACCTGCCCCGAGTCAACTTTTTTCACTGGGTTTCAAGGGCCAGCCCTAACTCAGAACTCCAGGGTTCATCTGGGTCTGTCATTAGCCACTAGAGGGAAAAGGCAAAAACATGTGGCTGGACCAGTACAAACAAATTCAGTGACTAGAACGTAACATATCCTGTCACACTTGGTTGATGGGTTGGGATGATGTTGCTGGGGAGGGGAAGAAGTATGTGGAAATGTGACAAAAACAACACAGCACAAACTTAAATGTGACTGAGAATGGTGAGCCATTCTTAAAAGAAGAGTAATACTACCTATATCCTAAAGAGCTGTTCAAGAAGGCTGCTCCCTTTTGCATCCCAGAGATTTAGCCTAATCCAGAGGAGCGCTGAAAGATGGGATTTCTCCATGCTGCCTCCTTCCTACCCATATTTCCCAATAAATAACAGAATACTCACTGGATCGGAGTAGGGTACGGTGAGCACTCTTGGGTGTGATGGGGGGAGGGGCGACGAGGCCAGTGGCTGACATGATGGCATTGAAGTAGAGGCCAGAGCCTTCACGAACAGGGCTGAGTATAGGTGGGGGCGTGTAGGGGGGAAGTTCAAAGTTTCTGTCAGATGGGTGGTCAGTCAGGCGGACAGGAGAGCGGAGGTGACTCTGGTAGGGAGTAATGTTGGAGTAGACTGGAGGGGCAATGAAAGTGCCTGCCTTGGTGGGGATGATCAAGGGTTCAGGTCGAGGCCTCTGTTTTGGTTTCCGAACCAAACCCTCACCATCCCCCTTGGGATCCACATCTTCAACCTGCAGAAAGAAAGCAAATAAGAGACAGTCACCCTTTTTAAAGAAAACCATATGGTCACGTGCTTGGATTTTTTTTTGTTAAAATTAATTTTTCGCTGATAAAATTTGTGTTCATCACTGACATGTCTCACTATTTCCCTCCCCTACCCCTTTCCCAAGGAGCCATTCCTTATAACAAAGGAGGAAAAAAGAGGAAGAAAACAAGTTTAGAAAAACTAACCAACATTATAAAAAAAAAAAATCTGAAATATATGTACATACACCTACATACATACATACAGTGTTCCATATCTATGGTCCACCATCTCTATTCTTGGGGGCCAAGTTCAATTACTATCATTTCGCAACATTCGCTTTCTGTTGTTTTCTTACTGTTCTTCCCATGTATGTTGTCGTAGTCAACATGTGTATTTTCTTTTGACTCTCTTTCATTTTGCCTTAGTTCATATAAATTCTTGCTATGCTTCTCCACATTCAACATTTGTCATTTCATACAATACAGTAATACTGCATTACATTCATTTACAACAATTTGCTTAGCCATTCCCCAACTGAAGGTTTGTTTCCAGGTCTTTGATAATACAAAGAAAAGGGAGGGGGGGAGGGGCCTAGAAATATTTTGATGTATAGATGCCTTTCTCTGTCACTGGCTTCTTTGGGGTATGTGTCTAGCAGTGGAATCTCTGGGTCAAAATGTATACACGTTTTAGCCACTTTCTTAGCATAATTTCACACTGATTTCCAGAATGCTGGAACCAATTTGTAGCTCTCACCAACAGTATATTAGTGTGCATCTATTTCCATAATCCCCTCCAGCATTAACTATTCCCTCACCTTTGCCACTTCTCTGGTTATAAGGTGAAACCACAGGGTAGTTGTGGTTTGCATTTTTCATATTCATAATTTGGAATATTCTTTCATATAACTGCTAAGAGTTTGCAAGTCTTCCTTTGAGAACCATTTATTCATATCCTTTGACTACTTATTGGGGAAAGGCTTTTGGGATAATTAGTACACAGAATCTCTCCCAGTTGACCTCTTCTTATACTGTCAGTAATTTTGTTCACACAAAAGCTTTTCAATTTCACGGAACCAAAATTGTCTGTTTATTGGGAAAGCTTCTCATATTTCTCCATTTCATATAGTACTAGCTTTTGGTTTTTAGAAGGCTATTTCTTATCTTATTTTTAAAAAAATTCTTCTGTGCTTATACTGTGTGTGGTTTTTAGCATATATGAATATCGTACTTTGTTAAAGGTCTTTTCTGTCTTTACTGATACAATCATGTGCTTTTTGATGCTTTTGCTTTTAATATGATTAATCATGCTGTCTCCTAATCTTTGTGTCCCTGGCATAAATCCAATTTGATCACAGTGAATGATTTTTTAGATAAATTGCTGTACAGTCAACTTGCCAGGATGTTATATTAAATTTTGGATTTATATTCATTAATGTTACTGGGCTATAATTTTGCTTTCTTTGGCTCGTATAGGGGTTAGGACTAAATTTATCTCATAAAATGAGTTTCACAGAGTGTATTCTTTCTCAATTTTTGAGAATAATTTGAGTAGTACAGGTATTTAAAAGTTTGACAGAATTCTACTATAAATCCATCTGGACCAGGAGTTATGTTTTTTTTTCTTTACTAATTCTTTTACACCTAGTTTAAATTCTCTTTTTTTCCCCTGTAATTAAAGATCTCTTTGAATTTCTGTAGAGAATCCTCTATTTCTTTTGAATTCTCAATTGTGTTCGTATATAACTGTGTATAGTAGGTTCTGATTATTCTTTTTATTTCCTCTCTTTGCTGTGCTTTCACCTTACCTTGTTTTGAGGATTTGGGGTTCATTCCACTTCCCCCCTCTTCTTTGAATAACATTGATTCATCCAGCCTTTAGCTTTATTGATCAATTCAATGCCCTTTCAGTTTTCCAATTTATTTCTCCTCTAATTTTCAAAGCTTTCTTTTTTGTTCTTATTTTGTGTTTATTTGTTGTTGCCCTCATACCATGGTCAAGTTTTATAAAGATGCCATGTGGAGCAAAAACAAACAAACAGGGGGCAGCTAGGTGGCACAGTGGATAGAGCACCGCCCCTGAAGTCAGGAGGACCTGAGTTCAAATCCAGCCTCAGACCAAACACTTGACACTTACTAGCTGTGTGACCTTGGGCAAGTCACTTAACCCCGATTGCCTCAGTAAAAAAAACCAAACAAACAAACAAACAAAAAAAGTATATTCTTTAGTGGTCCCATTCAGTGGTACCACAATCTTTTAGCCTTAAATTCTCCAATAGTTTGTTCAGTTCTATATTTCTCTGTCAGAAGCTCTTAGAAAGAAGGAAACTTTAAGGTATCCTAATATAGTGGTGTTAATATTCACATCTTTTTGTAAGTCAATTACTTTTTCATTTATGAATTTAGGTGCTATGCCATTTGCTGCATGTTTAATATTGATGTTAGTCCATTGTCTATGGTTCCTTTAAGCATAATGTAATTTATCTCAACTGATTTTCGTGAATTTTTATTTTTGCTTTGTCTGAAAGCAGAATTGCAACTCCTGCTTTTCTGGATTCACCTGATGCATAGTAAATTTTGTTCCAGCCTCTCATTTTGATTCTAAATATGGCTTTGCTTCTTAGATGTATTTCTAGTAAACATCACATTCTAGAGTTTTATTTTCTTGTTTGTTCTACCAATCTCTTTTGTTACACTGGATTTGTTTAATCCATTTACATTTAAAGTTAGAAGATGTTGATTTGTGTTTCTTCTCCCTTTGTGTCGTTTAATATTGGGGAATTTAAAGATTTTTTAAAATCCCCTTTCCCTTTTAAGACAGTAGTTGCTCCATGACCAATTTTGCTAAAACTAATTTATCATACAGCCCTATTTCCCACACACTCTCTTGCTCCTCTTACACCCTTTTGCTCTCATTTGCTACTCCTATCACTAGTTTGGGGTTTTTTCTTAAATTATTGACTATTTATCAATTTCTTCTCCCTTTTTTCCTCCTTTTTTCCTCTCAGTTAAGCAATTAGTTCAAATATCTCCTCCTTCCCACAGGCTACTTAGGTGTATCAGTTTAAATATTTCTGAGAAATTTTTTTTTTTGCTTTGTTCTCTTAGTTAATTCTCCTCTCAGTCTATTTTAAAATATCATTATCTGATTTGTGGTCTCTACTTTTTATTTATTCTATTTTACTTTTCTTGTATTGGGGTAAAGTTTTTAAAGTAATGGGTTTGAGTTCTATTTTCTAAATAATTTCTATTATTGCTATTATACATGTTGCTCACCCACCCCTTTTCGAAATTGTATTTTACTCTTAGAATTATCAGTCCATGAAGAAAGTAACGTTGGACAAAAGCTGTATCTTGTAAGAGATGTCCTCTGTGTCAAATCATGCAGTCCAATTCTACTCCTTGCCCTCCCCAAAATCATTTCCATTCCCAATGGCTGTCCATCTCCAAATCCATGTCACTTATATCCTCTGAGGTACCATCTGCCTCTAGGGAGCTGACATACCCGTCTTCATGTCTATGGAAGCACAACACTCTCTGAGAAGAAGTGGCTTCTCAATGTACCAATTCCCTCCAGATTAAACACATCATAAAATCTCCATCTCCTACTACAGGCATATACCTCCTCCAAGGGAGGGAGTGCTCTTCACTAGAATCCCCTCACCTCACATTAATTTGAGATCAAAGTGGAGTCTCCTCCTCCCACATTCAATCCCTCCTTTCTATTAGCCTCACTCTCCTGTAGCCCCTCTTTTTCCTGAGAGTCTATAGGAGTCACTATCCCTTTGCTGTTCACCCATGAACTTGATGAGGGAGCATTACCCATTCTCTCCATCTTCCATTTTTCATCTCTCTATGTACCCTTTCACTCTGCAATTTGGTCCTATAAAATATATCGATTCAGGGGAAGGGAAAATGTGGGAGTCTATTTCTCCAGCTTCAATTTTCCTATTTCTTTAGTTTCTGCTTACATCTTTATCCTCTTATATGTTTTTTAAAATTTTATTTATCATCTTTTTTTTTCAGGAGATTTTTTTTACATTTTTATTCATAGCTTTTTTTTTTTTTAAGGTGGGAAAGAATGAGTATCTGAGGGAGTATATATCAATTGGGAAATGCCTACACAAGTCTGGTATATAAATGTGATAGAATATTACTGTACTGTAAAAAATGATGGAGAAGTGGTTTCAGATAAACCTGGGAAGACATATATGATACAAGAGAACAATTTATACAATGACAAACAATATTGTAAAGATTAATAACTTTGAAAGACTTAAAAAACTTGATGAGTGTAATAACCAAACATGATTTCAGAGGACTAATAATGAAATTTGCTATGGACCCCAAGACAGATTCAGAGTGCAGAACACACACACACACACACACACACACACACACACACACACACACACA